ACAGACATATTCTAAAACTGAGTTATGGTGATGGTTATAAAACTCCATAAATTAACCCCCAAATCATTGAATTATACACTTAAAATTCATGAATTTTGTGTTAAGTAAAACCTAAGTAAAACTGTCTATAATTGGTTTTCAGTTTACATACTTTCTCAATTTTTGGAATAACTTATAAATTATTATTATTCAGTATTAGTTTTCCTTTTAACTTAAAACTTTGAAAAATGGATTTTAAGGCTATTAGGACTGTGGCATTTTGGGGAGGGAATATCTCAGACCAGTATATCAGTTAGATTAATGCTTACTGGTCTGTTCAACTTTTTTAATTAAACAATGGAGGGTGTTTTACACTTTTCTTTTAGCCATATCTCCATTTTGGTTTTCAGATGTTTTAGCATATGGACACTCCTAATTTGCTTTTATTATATGTATATCTCAACATTTGCACAGTTATTTTCAATGATTATTGCTTGTATTTTTTATTTCCATCTTCTCTTTTTCTTGTCAGTTGTACTAGAAATCTATCATATCAGCTCTTTTGTTAATCTTCTCTATTGTTTATATTATTTGTGTCACTCATTTTTGTTTCTATATGCTTGCTCTCCTGCACATTCTATAATGGATTGCTACTAGGAATACCTAGTTTTAAAATTTTTAACTTTTAAAATTTTATGACAAAGGTATTTAAAGATATTAATGATTACCTATCTCAAGATTTGTACTTCAAGTGTTTCCGTTTGTCATTCTTTGCCAGAGATTCCTTAAATTTTCCTCCCTTGCTAAGTTATTTAGTATTACATTATTTGATTTTCAAATATGTGGCACTTAACCTATTTTAAATTAACTTTGATTTTATCAAATTTTGGTCAGAGAACATAGACCATATGACATTGATCCTTCGGAATTTCCTAAGACTTTCTTAGTGACCTAATAAATACTACACTTTTATAAATGTTTCTTATGGCTTGAGAAAAAATGTTTACTTGCTGTGTCATAGATGTAGTTTTCTATCAAAATCTAATGGCTTAAGCATCTTAACTTTTTACTCTTGGTCTATCAGTTTCTGAGGAGTGCATGCTTAAATCCGTAACTCCAGCTACTGATTTATCTAATTCATTTTTTTTTATTTTTAAAAGTATTTATTTAATTTTGAGAGAGACTGACAGAGAGTGGACAGGGAGGGGCAGAAAGAGAGGGAGACACAGAATACGCAGCAGGCTCCAAGTTCCCAGCTGTCAGCCCAGAGTCAAAGCAGGGCTTGAACCCATTAACAATGAGATCATGACCTGAGCTGAAGTCATTTAACTGACTGAGCCACCCAGGCACCCCTATCTAAGTCTTTAAGTTTATTTATTTTTGAGAGAGAGAAAGAGACAAAGAGAGAAAGAGAGAGACGAGATGGAGAGAGAGGGAGGGAGAAAATCCCAAGCAGGCTCCATGCTGTCAGCCTAGAGCCCAATGCAAGGCGCGATCTCATGAACTGTGACATGACCTGGGCCAAAATCAAGAGTCGGAATGTTCAACTGACTGAGCCACTCAGGCGCCCCCTCGTTTATCTAATTCTATCACATTCTGATGGTTGTAGTCTGATATAGTTAAAGCCTGTATAATTAACTGAATGAATCCTCAATGATTACTACATCTTCATGTTCTGTTTTTCCTTTTACTTTATATAGTGTCCTTCTTTGTCACTTGTGATGCATTTTTGAATGAATTCTACATTTTTAGGATTAATATTACTGCATCTGCCCTCTTCTTATTCATTTTTACCTTGTATCTTTTCTTATCCTATTGTTTTAATATCTGTGTGCTTTTTAATTTTAACTATTCTCTTACCATCCATACCTGATGTGATCCTGATTTTTAAAATCCAATCACAAATTGTATTTTAATTTGTGTGTTTAGCCCATTTACAGTTTGTTATTTCTGTTTTACTAGGACTTGGTTCTCCAAATGTTTCATATTTTTAGTTATCAGACTTTAATAAAAACATATTTTAAAATTATTTTCTTCTTTCCAGCTTTTCTGTGATGATGAGTTGAAGGTCTCATATCTATTTTTGTTCTTATTATGACCACCCACAACCAAATATCCATATTTATAATTATTTTAATCACTATTGCGAACATCCTTGTTTTTTGTCAATATCTGTATTTTCTCCCCTAACATATGTTAGGCTAGTCTCGTTTGCTTAAAATTCCCTAAACCTCCCCAATTTGTTATTGACCAGATGCTATTTCTCTTTCTCTTGTTTTTTCAGTTTTCATTAATTCTAAAAATGTTCCTTATTTCTTCAAATATTTTTTTCTATATATGTTTGCCTTCTTTTGGGGACTTCTAATTCTATTCTCCATGTTCTTTAAATTTTCTGTTTTAAATTTGTTTTCCTTTATCATTGTCTTTTATGAGAGTTTCACTTTCTGACTGTCTGGTCCACAAATTCATTAGGTATTTGTACCTATCCTTCTTTTATTCTTTATATTGTTTTATTTATTGCTATTTACATATTTCCATATCTAAAACTTCCAGTTTTTTCCTTATAACTTTTTTCTTATTTTATGTTATAAATATTTTCTCTTACCTCTCTAAAATATACTTATACTTGATAAATTATTTTTCTATGCATTCCACTAATTCTGCTTCAACTGAGTATTGCTCACATTACCATATTTCTTTCATATTGTTTTGCTCCTCACATATACAAATATATTTACTCTCAGATTCCATAATAGCTTTAGTTATTTTTTCTGCTAGAGTGAGTGAGATGGCATTCAAGGCCACGCTTCAGTTTCTGCCTTTCCTGTTGAGTGTAAGGATAAGAAAAGGGATGAAGCCTAGATCAGAATGTTCTGGAACCAGTGTTGCTCCTCCAGTTTGTTCCCACTCCGGTTAGCAATCCATCTGTGCGCATTAGGAAGAGGTGTTCTCCGTAGGTTGTGATCTACCAGCCCTTGGAGTTTGGAGGGGGAGGTGGAGTAGAGATGAGGTGCACCTGTTCTCCTCACCGCACAGCTGGGCTTTTGATCTGCCCCGTCATCACCCTGCCAACACGTGTGACCTGGTATGCTGCTGTTGCTTTTGCTGGTCAAGGGGAATCGCAGTGATTGTCCCAAGTTAATAAAGTCAGTCCCTATCACCCATGCTTCTGTCGTTTGTCCAGATATGACCTTAGAGAGAAAACCGGCAGCTCTCCTGCTTTTGCCCTCTACTTCAGCCACACTTCTTTGTGCCCCTTAAACAGGACAATCTAGTTCCTCTCACAAATCCTTTGCAATTGTATTTTTTCTGTGCCTGGAATATTCTTCCCTCAGATCTTTAGTGGCTGGCTCCTCTTCATTAATTCCGTCTTACCTCAACTGTTACCTTTACAGAGAGACCATTCTTGACATTGTCTTTAAACCAGCCACCATTCTAGGTATTGTTCAATTTATTTTTCATAGCATTTATTATAATTTAAAATGATCATATTCGTGGTCTTTGTCTTCTCATCAGAATGTAAATTCCTTAGAGCATGTATTCCATTTCTTCTTTTCTTTCTTTCTTTCTTTCTTTCTCTCTTTCTTTCTTTCTTTCTTTCTTTCATTTTGCTGTGGTGGTATATTAGTCTAGTAGAAGCCCAGAGCCTAGTAAATGTGTAATGGATTTTAAAGAACAAATGAACAACTGAACAAGTGAAATAACACAGATAGCCATGACTTACCTTGTTTTCACTCTATTTTTACTTCTTCCTAAACATATGACATGAACAGTCGGGTATGTTCCATAGCTTTTCTTTACTATTCTACATTCTTTTCCCATTTTTATTGTCTTTATGGAGTCCTCATTGTCACCTTTTGGTTCACAAATTCATTTATATAATTGCGTCCATTGTACTTTTATTCTTTCTATTGTGTGACATACTAGGTCACAGGTCTATGTATTCTAAGTTTTCCACATTTATATTTTAAATATTTTTCTTATGATAGTAACATCAAAAATTTATTTTCCCATGTGATCATATAAAAAACCCTGTGTTATTATTTACTTTTAGATAGAAATTAAATGCAAGTTAACTTGAGATCTTTAATTAGCTCACGTCACAATAGTGTTACCAAATAAAGTTTCTCAAATATTCACTTCATCCTCGGCACAAATCTATAATATACATAGGGTGTGAATTTCCATTTGTCAGGCAAGGAGGAAAGTGAGGTTCAAAGAGGTGAAGTGAGTGGGTGCCAGGTCTGAGATTCAAACGCCGGTCTCCAGGTATCACCTCAAGCATTTGCTTTCCTCCCGCATAGGTATGTCCCTAAATACAGGTCATATTACTGGAGCTGACCTGTGGGCATTTCTTCCAATGCTCAAATATCTTAGTCTTATTGGCCTGATTGTCTCTAGGGAAAATGTTTAAAATAACAAAACAACAACAGTCAGTGGTAACAATATGCCACGCACTACTCTAAGCTCAGTGCACATATTCATATATGGAAACTTCTTTGTAATCCTGAGAGGTTAAGTAATATTGTATACATTTTGCAAGTAAGAACACTAAACCCCAGAGGGGTTAAGTAACTCCCAAATCACACACCCAGTATGTGGCAGAGTTAGAATTAAGAACCCAGCGATCTGGCTCCTGATCACTACCCTAATCTATAATAATAAAAACTTTATTGTAGCTTATAGTTTACAGAGAGTTTTCATATCCATTACCTACTGAGCCTCATTACCACTCTGTAGAGAAGACAGGTGGGATTTGACAGGTAAGCAGTATACTAAATTTCAGAGAGGCGACTTGACCTACTGAAATAACAGAAATTCTTTCTCCTGAAATCTAATTGTATCTCTGTTCTTGGACCATGATTTATCATCCATGACTTTTTTGGTGTACTGTAGTCTCCTCAACCTGTTTTGTTCTCCAGTAGAGTTATATTGTTGTGGGTTTAAAATATTCTCTTATATGTACCTAAGGAATATTTTATCTCTTGTATTTTGATGTTCCTTGATAATGTCTCTTGCAGTTGAATTGCGATGATTTCATGAAAGAAGAAAAAAGTGGGGATTTTATCTGTACTCGGGAATATGTAGCTGTTTGTGGCACTGATGGGAAAACATACAGCAACAAATGTATGCTGTGTGCTGAGAACGCGTGAGTATCTGCAGCAGGCTTTCTCCCTAATGCATGCTCTCTGTATAATTACAGGACACATTCTTTTCTTAGAGTCTTTAAAATCAATTCATTTCATGGGAGTTAGCCATCCATAAATTATTAGGACCACTCCTTTTACTGTATTCTTTATTTTTTAAAAAATATTTTTACGGGTGCCTGGGTGGCTCAGTCGGTTAAGCGTCCAGCTTCGGTTCAGGTCATGATCTCACAGTCTGTAGGTTCGAGCCCTGCATCAGGCTCTGTGCTGACAGCTCAGAGCCTGGAGCCTGCTTCAGATTCTGTGTCCCCCTCTCTCTCTGTCCCCACCCCACTTGCTTTTTGTCTCTCAAAATAAAATAAAGACTTAAAAAAAATTTAATGTTTATTAATTTTTGAGAAACAGAGAAAGACCGAGCATGAGTGGGGTAGGGGCAGAGAGAGACACACACACACAGAATCCGAAACAGGCTCCAGGCTCTGAGCTGTTCGCACAGAGCAAGATGCAGGACTTGAATCCGCAAACTGTGAGATTATGACCTGAGCCAAAGTCGGATGTTTAACCAACTAAGCCACCCAGGCGCCCCTCCTTTTACTATATCTTTAAGGAAAAAATATGTCATGTCACACTTTATATTTTACAAAGCACTTTTGTATACAGTTTATCAAATAGTTAACAGTGTCTCTATGAAGTAGACATCTGATATATCTAAATTATACATTTACATACATGCATATGTAAGTACACATGTGTGTATATGCACATACACACATACATATATATACAGACACCTATCTATTTCTATTTGTCTAGGAGTATATCTTTTTTCACAGAGAATTATTTAATCGTCAAAGTATTTTTTTATTAAGTGCTCAGTAATTTATAATACTAGAGTAGATTAATTGGAACTTTTAATATTGAACTTCTTTCCATTTATTCAACCTTTGTCACATAGCTAACGCATCTCACTGTCCAATATGTTGTCCCTCTTTGGATCTTTCTCCCCCCTCAGTGCTAATGTTTGGTTATCAATTGTCTTCAGTCAACAAGATGGCATACCTGCTTTTTAGGTTCTGGCTTCTGGCCTCAACCTTGAATTGTCTACTCTTCAGTTTTTTGCAAAAATGATAGCAATCAGTGCTTGGGGCCAGTAAAGGGTATGGTAAATATTCAGTCTTCAAGGTTCTGCAAGCTTTATCTTTCCTTGTAATAAGTATCTTTACCAAAACACAACTGAATGGAATCACTCTGGTCCCTCACATTACTGCATTTTCAGAGATGCGCTCTGAAATTATGCCTTCAACTCTCACCAGTGGCCAACACATACACGGGGAACACAGACAGACATGGTGAGAACAGACAGGCTTTGTTAGGCACGTATCTTCTAACACTTTTAGGAGCGCACTGAACGTTTAATTACTACTGTGCTTTATGTGGGGGATCTTGTGATAGATTCTTTAACTCTCTGTTTTAGGAGTACATTTCTGTCCCCTGATTTCTGGTATATTCCTTTTATTACACAGTGAGAGCCATCCTGCTCATTATGTTTCTGTCTTAGCTCCATCTACTGGGAGACTGCAGTAACATTGGGATTCAATTCTTTTTCTTTCCCTCGAATGGTATCTTTTGATGTAGCTTTTTTCTTACTGCTTTTAATGGCTTCATTGTTCTCTTCATATTGTTTTTTTAATTGTTATACCAATATAGTCGTTTTTATCTTCTTATGAAGGAGAAAGTGTATTTTACATCTGTGGTTCTGTTTCCAGATATGCCTTCAGGGGCTATTAGACTGAATAAAATTCTTAGGACTTTAGGTACTTTCCATGACCATTAAAGTATTAGCATAAACAAAAGAATAGTACAGTAGCGAGTTACATCCCATAAGCTTGAATTCATATATTTTAAAAAAAACATCATTGATGGCAGCATAGTTTTTGAGGGCATATCTAGTTACAAGGTGTGCTTTTCCCCTCTCTTCTGATATGGATCCCCTATAGACACAGGAAGGAAAATTCTGGAAATCATATTTTCAGGTCTGAATCTTATGACTCCTCCTACGGTTCTATTTCTTTGACTCCAAGTTATAAACACAAGCTCTCATTAGAAAGAGTAAGTGAAGAAGAGAATATAGTGTGACATCTGTTTTCAAGGATAAAGAGAATTATAATACAATGACAATAAGTTATTTTTCAATGGTAAGATGTTCTGTGATGCTAAACTTCTGTGTCTACTAACTTTCATTTCCAGCAAAAGCAGGTCCCAAGTTGGCATAAAAAGCAAAGGGGAATGTGAGACCAGTAATCCAGAGCAGGTGAGGACAAGTGTCAAAATGGTGGGAAACCTTGGGAGGCTGACTTCAGAGAGAAAGACGATGCTCTCTTCTTCCTTCTTGGGTGGGGTGTTAGGAAGGAAACAATTCCTGCCCGTTTAAACACGGCTTGTTAAGATGAAAAGCAAGTGAGAGTTCCTGAAACTGGAGCGGGCTAATTTGATAGTTAGACCTTTCAGCTTTCTTTCTGTTTTCTGTGAAAAAGAGAAAGAAATCATTCAGTCAGTCAGTCAATCAAAAGGAAACTACATTTGTAGTAGAAATGGCACTACACATCAGTCATTAAATCTGAATTGAAACCCTAGCACTGTCACTGTCAGGCGATCTTGGACAAATTACTTACCCACACTGTACCAGTGTTTCCATATCTAAAAGTGAGATTTGTATTAAATAGCTTTTGTCTGTGCTAAAATTCTGTGCTCTTGTGATGATAGAAGAAAGAAATATCTCAGACATGTCACATTTGACTTTTTCTACCTGAATGTTTTGCCTAAGTCAAGGTTTGGTGCCCTTTCTATGCTCCTAGAATACCTATCAGGACATTTAGCACATCATGTATTTTTTTAAAAGTTTATTTATTTATTTTGGAGAGAGAGAAAGCACAAGTTGGGGAGGGGCAGAGAGAGGGAGAGAGAATCCGAAGCAGGCTTCACATTGACAACACAGGGGCTCAGACTCATGAATTGATGAGATATGACCTGAGCTGAAGTCAGACGCTTAACCACCTGAGCCATCCAGGCACCCAGCACATTAAGTGTCTTTTTGTGTCCCCCAGTAGATATGAGCAAGTTGAGTGCAAGGACTGTCCTCCCGTAGCACATACTAGGGTATTTGAGTTTAATAATAAATGAATAGGTAAATGGGCACCATGCTTAACCACATGATTAATACAGTACTTACTGAACTACCTCTAGGTCTCTGGTACTGCTCCAGGTGGTTACTGTGCATTGGGCAGAGAAGCACTGAGAATTATAAAAATTCTGAAAGCAATGTGAAAGGCTTTACAATCAGTATGGTGAAATTCACATTCCTTTCCCTGTTCTTCAGGATGTATGTAGTGCTTTTCGGCCTTATGTGAAGGATGGGCGACTTGGATGCACAAGGGAGAATGATCCAGTCCTTGGCCCTGATGGAAAAACACATGGAAATAAGTGTGCGATGTGTGCTGAGCTTTTGTAAGTATCATCATCCCCAAGCAAGCCACGTGGGTGAACTTGATGAGGATGCATTTGGTTGCTATACTGAGACCCACTCACAGAGAGATACAGCCCTTTGCATGGAGCATACAATTCTTTGTCTTCATAAGGTGAAATAGTCCTTGCTCTCAGAGTGGCTTCTTTTCTTTTTAATTTATATCATCTATGAGAGTTTCTTCAAAGAAGTGGAGATGAATGTGTTAGTTATTATATTCAGTACTCTTCATTTGCTTAATTATAACTACAGGACAATGCACAGTGTTTTATAAGGCACAGTATTTTAAAATTTAGAAAGCAGTTTCATATGGAATACTCTAGGTCAGTCCTTTGACATCCATTGTTTCATTTGAATATGCATAGAGACTCTTACTAAAAGTAACAGTCTAGTTTAAAATATAATGATAACAACGTCATGTGACCGAACCCGTTATTAATATGAAAGGTGGAACTTTATGAAAGGGAAGAATCAGGTTATCTTTCTCTGAGTGTCTGACATTGCTGTGAGGACTGAGGCTGTGACATGAAGAACATCCAATGAGTTTCTAACATTCTGGCTGTTAAACAAGGTATAGACTCTCTATATGTCAGCAAGCTTTAAAATGCTCCACTTACCTCAGTAGATCTTTACAATCAAGGCAGGAAGAGATTTAACAGATAAATAAACTTCACACCTGCCTTTGAAAATTACAGTGTGCTGTTATAGAATTCAAGGACACGTCCTATCAGGTTTACAAAGCAGTGATTATAACTGGTTTCCAGACAGGAAATAAGCCTAATTTCCACTTTCTTATCTAGGAGGCATGTGCTTTTAGTGTTGCAACCTGCCCCAGTTCTGTGGCTTTCTGTTTCTTTTCATGCAGTAGCTAAAAAAGAGAATTTGACCTCCCAACTCTTGGTGTCTTCCTCTGTGGAACTAATAATGCCGGTCTCCAGGGTAAGACTGCAAGTAGGTAATAGATGTGAGAGGACTTAGAAGTTTAGTTCAATGTCGCTTTTTTTTTTTTTTTAACAGAGGTGCTTTTACCTGAAGGCAAACAAATACTTCACAAGGTATAGAAAAGGTTTACATAAGGGCGTGGATGGCAATACATCAAATGCTCAGTTTGGTTTCACTCGTGTCACAGCATTGTATTAAAGCTCTTAGTTCTGCCTATTAAAGGGAATTTTCCTGACAATCTTCTGTTTGTCAATCAAGGAGTCACACCCATCTAGTTTTACAGAACAAAGCTTCTAATTGACTGTCAGTGAGTCAGTTTCACACCCTTCCTTATCTTTGGCAATTTTCTGGCTCATTCAAGACTGGGAAAAGCTTGTCTCTTGTAGGTGAGTCGGTTTAACCAGTTTTATGGAGAAGGATATGAAAGTTTGTCTAGTAAAGGGACACTGCAAATATGATTGAGCCATAAACTGACCAACTGTTTTCTTTCTTAACAGCTTAAAAGAAGCTCAAGCAAATGCCAAGAAAGAAGGTGAAACCAGAATTCGACGAAGTGCTGAAAAGGTAAATTACTCATCAACATATTGGTTCTTTTGGCCAAAATATTAGCAAACTTAGGTATGACACTTTGAGGTATTTCAATAATGTCATCGTCCTTAATTTTTACAGTAAATTGTTGCCCTTAATTTCAAACGTCTCCAAGTTCACTATTCCTGGTATATTAGGAATATACATTAAATTCAATTTTAAAACAGCATTTCCCACCTAAATATGCAATTTCCCTCCTTGCTTGAGAAAAAGAGAGAGAAAAAATAGAAGTCAGAATATATGCTAATTAAATTCTGCTTAATTTTCCCCCAGACTTCTCTCTGTTTAGTGTAGATTAATTTTGCTTTTTTAAATAAAATTTTTATGCAAAATTTTTAAATGCAAGATAAATATAAATTAGACAGGAATAACTTGTAAATGATTCTGGAGTTTTTTAAACAGTATATTACTGGTGTATTTTATATATGACCCCACTGATACAAATTGGAGTTATTCATTTTTCCATTATGGTTATTACATTCAGTGACGCCTATGTTTATAAAAGTCTTGCTTCTGTTTAAACAAAAATAACACCAAAATTGAGATTGTAGTTTTTATTCTTATTTTTTTTTAAGTTTATTTATTTATTTTAAGAGAGAACATGAGAAGGGAAGGAGCAGAGCGGGAAAGAGACAGAGATTCCCAAGTAAGCTCCACACAGTCAGTGCAGAGCCCGACGTGGGGCTCAGTCTCACAAACTGTGAGATCATTAGCTGAGCCGAAATCAGGTGTCAGATGCTTAACTAACTGAGCCACCTAGGCACTCTGAGATTGTGGTTTTTAAAGTACCTTTAAGTTTTTTTCAAATTATTATATGATTTAATTGTTTAACCTAGCATACAAAAATTATTCTTTTGGTAATTGAATAAGCATTGTAGATCATACAGCTTGGATTTCCTAAATCACCACTGTTATTAAACTGTCCTTTCAATGACAGTGACATTAGTTATGTTGCTAAATGACTACTATTTTTTAAAAATTTTTTAAATGTTTTATTTATTTCTGAGGGAGAGGTAGAGAGAGGCAGCGTGAGCAAGGGAGGATCAGAGAGAGAGGGAGATACAGAATCCAAAGCAGGCTCCAGGCTCTGAGCTAGCTATTAGCACAGAGTCCAACGCGGGGCTCGAACCCACGAACCACCGTGAGATCATGACCTGAGCTGAAGTCGGACGCTCAACCCTCTGAGCCACCCAGGACCCCCACAATGACTAACTTTTTGTTGAGAAGTCAGAACACCTAAATTTTAGCCATAGTTCTGTTAGGCTCTGGCTCTGTGAAACTGACCAAGTCATCTCTTCTCTCTGGACCTCAATTTCTTTGTTCCAAATTAAGGAGGTTGAATAAATGATCTCAATTTTACTTTCTTGTTGGAATGTGATTCCACATTCTGTACCTTTTCGTGCTAATACAAGTTTAGAGGCTACTTCTAGGCAATAGGCTTTAGCAATGGAAACTTGATCAAGGCCAAAGTGCCCACAATTTAACCCCCTGGCTGAATACGGAGAGGCCCCTGGGGCGACTCACCTAAAAATATCCACATGTCCTAACAAATGGGCTACTTACAACCAGGCACTGATACAAAAAAAGGAAAATGCCAAACGTTCCCATTTTCACCTTCCTCCTTTAAAAACAGTCCCCACTGCCTCGTGGCAGGCAGCCTCACCTTTGCTCTCCTGCCCCCACACCCTTACACTAACATATGCAGCAAACTTTTATCTCTTTTGTTCTGCCTTGACTGAATCCTTTTGCCCCACCTTTGGGGTCCCCCATCAGATTGGGAGAGGCATCACAACAAGTATCCTTATTTTTGTGGATGATGGACAAATATTTTCCTATGGATAGTGCTAGGTCCAGTTTTTGGTAGTCATGGGCTCAACTTCCACTCAATAATATTATTTGGTGATGCATATTTCCCACCCTAGAGTGTTCAGAGTTTAAGCGAAGAACAGTGGAGCATTCAGAGTTGTCAGTAATTTGTTGAATATTCAATGAGATTTGAAAAGCCCTTCTTTTGGTAGTTAAGCTTCAGTCAAAAACTTTGGGTCATCTTATACTATTGAGCATTTTATTACTTCATAAACACAGATCTTTTCCATCGTCTTTCACCTTGTCTTGGCTGTTTTCCCCTCTTTTTCTCTGTAGCTGGGGTCATTGTTTTGGTGAGGTCACGGGACATGATTGTATTGAATGCGACTGCTTTATGGTGATGGCTCAATAACTGCCCATAATTAACTTGTCAGTGGTTTGCTCACAAAAGTATTTCTTCAGAATCTCCTTAGATGAATCACAACTTATAAACTGAAATTATCATTGTTTCTTTTATGGGAACCATTGAGCAGTAATTTTGTTACCATGCTATGATTATCAAGTGATTGTCTTCTGCGTCTTTATTCCTAGATTGTTAACAACCAGGAAGTTTGGAGCACACCCATTGCTCCTCCAAAAAACAAATATTTTCTTATTGGGAGTTAATTAGGATCCTTTTTTAAAGGGTCCTAATGAAATAGTTCTTTTTTAAAAAATTGCAAATACTAGATTTAGAAAAAAAAGCATCTATTCCAAAAGCATCATTGTCTAGGTGGTGAGACTGAGGTCTCGAAGGTGATGGGACTTGGCTGTGACCTCCCAGGGAGTTAGAGGCAGTCTAGCTGCTCTGGTCTTCAGACTTCAAACCACATTCTTTATGCTCATGTTTTCTTGGCTGAAATGGGAAGATTAGGGTCACACAGTTGAAAAAGAGAGAAGCATTTATTGTAGGTTATGCAGTAATATATGCCATCATAAAACATGTTTATTAACATAAAGATCCCTAAGTCTAGAATAATTTGGGGTAGGTACAAACATAGACATAGGTATAGTTTAGCCTTCATCAAATAGTGGGATTTTCCAAACAGAGAAAAACCTGAAACCACTGAACCAAAACATGGGGAAATCTGGGTGCAAACCTTTCTTGGATCATTTGAGGAAGTCAGAGCCTTTTAAGGTTTTCTAAAGAAATACTAGTTTTGATGTTTTATCTCTGTACAGTGGGGAGTGAAGAAAAATTAGATTTAGTCTTTTTGTGCTATCTACCATATTAGAAAGAGACATCAATAAAGGAAGCAGAGCACATAAAAATGAACATCAGTAAAAGAGGCCACAGATTCCCAGAGAACAAATGAAAGTAAGCGTAGTCATTGGATACCACCTATTGCCTTGCAAACCATACTGGATTGTTTTGACTCGGTCCATATTAATAGTATTAAACATCGTGTCTCACAGATTCTCTCTTCTGCTTGTTGACAACATTTTTTTCTTTTGTCTTGGAAGCTGCATTTTGTTATGTCTTTGTTGGGACTCATTAAAAGATATTTTATTTTTTATAATCCTTTTTTCGTGGACTTGGAAGTTAACAAGAGCTATCTAATATTAGGAAATATATGCTCAGCCTAATTCTTTATAAGACTCTTTTACATTTTAATAAACCACATAGTAGATACAAGTACCAAGTAATGTCATGACATAATGACTATTTCTTATTAATCTTCATTAATATGTTATATGTTTACCAACATCTCCACCTGACATTCTGTGACTATAAATCCATGGTATACGTTTTCTGCATTAAAGAGTAGAAAAGTGCTAAGTGTAACTACTTATCTTTTTGAAGGATTTTTGCAAGGAATTTGAAACCCAAGTGAGGAATGGACGACTTTATTGTACACGGGAGAGTGACCCAGTTCGTGGCCCTGATGGCAGGATGCATGGCAATAAATGTGCCCTGTGTGCTGAAATGTTGTGAGTATAGATGCAGTTTCTTTGGAGTGAATGGGTGTGTGAAGTGGAGGTTGATTGGCACGGTGAGTAAGCACAACATTGAGGTACAGCTTTGTTGTTGAGAATTTTTGAGCAGTTTTCTGTCCTCTGCAAAACATGGTATCACCTAGTAAATAGATCCTCATGATGTATGTCTGTTTCTGAGTATAGATGGATTCGATTTTCCAGTTAGAAGACTGGATTACAAAATACTTCTTAATATTTCCTCCCACAACCTTTGTAAGCCTTTTTATGAGCTAGTCATAATACAGAGTGAGGGTAAAAGCAGGTACCAAGACTTTGACTGTTTTCCTTCAGTAATAATCCCATTGTGACAGAACAGATGTTGACGCCCACAAAAACTTCAAGTTCATATGTGAATGGGATGAACTTTATCTTTTCATCACGGGCATCTGACCTTGGGGAAGGGCAAATCCCACAACATATAAATTATGTCATTTATGAAGATGTCTCAGACAAGGTCTTGTCACTCGTTAAGATCCTTGATCTCTCCATACTCTTTCCTTTATGCTGTCCTCCATCAAGTCTGTCTTAGTCTTGGCCAGCTATTCTCTCCCCTCTGTGGACTGCATTTCAAGATTATCCTTCTTTGGCTAAGACCTCCTGAAATTTCTAATTGAAATCAATCCTTATAACTCTTAATTTTATTTCATAACAATCATCACAGCTGGTAATTGTGTAATTATTCCTATGACTATATGTTGACTGTTAGTCTTTTCTACTGGGCTCTAAATTCCCAGAACACAGGGTATGTGTCTGTTGTGTATGCTACTGTAGTGTTTGCCCAAGGGCTGGGCCAGTACTTGACAAAAAATAGTTACTGGGCAAATGTTCAATGAATATGTAAGGGAAGATCCCTGCTCTCAAAAAGCTTAAAGTTAAAGAGTACAAATAAGCACCCACCCACCCCCAACACACACATTTCAAGACAGAGTGAAAACTATCCCATAAGAGAATATTCAGGTATGAAAACACAATGACAGACATACAACTTATTTCCACTTTGATATCTGGGATGTCTTCTCAAAGAAGGTAAAATTTTAACTAAGGGGATTTAAAAGAAAGGAAGATGACAAAAAATGGTGACTCCGTGGATATATGAAGGCAAAATAAAAGGATTGAGAGGGAAGAGTGAAGATTTCAACCCAACTAGGAACTTAAGACGATGGAAAATGTTTGTATTAGAACGCATGAGCATGTGGCTCTTTTCCCACCTGTGCCTAAATGACTATTTTGTAACATGAGGATTTATAGCATCATGTATTTATTTTGTTTTTTTTTTCCTCCAGCAAACAGCGTTTTTCAGATGAAAAAAATAAAGCACATGAAAACTTGAGGAAGGCTAAAGAAAAAGTTAAAGTTAAAAGAGAAATTGAGGTATGATTAGTTTGATCAACTTAGTTATGACTTTTGTGGGGTGTGTGTATGTGTGTGTGTGTGTGTGTGTGTGTGTGTGTCTACATTTTACTCTAGAATGCATTTTTGATGTTGATTCATTTTTCCTCCTTTACTGGTAGATCTTCTGGAAAGTGACTTACAGTAATTAGTTCACAAGATATAGAAGAATAATTAGGCATTCCAATTTTTAGCTCTATTTGGAGAAAATTAATCAAGTCATATTAGTAGAGTAGTTCCTAAATAAAGGTAAAATACCAAAGCATTATCTGAATTCAAAGTCTGATGTGTATGGTAGTTATTTTGGAGGTCTTCAATGTAACATTTTAGTATGCTCCCTTTAAAATCATACCACATTCTACTTTCTAAACATCTCTTATCTAGGCATCTGTCTTTTTTTCTCCTGCTACCAACTTAGCTCATATATCTAATAGATTTCCTTTCCATCAGGGCATTAGCATCCTACCCAGTCTCTATGCTTCTAGCCAACATCTCCCTCAATCCTCGGGTTTCATTTCATCTTCCACATTGCTTTCATAGTGTCAGAAATATGGGCATGACCCACTGGCATTTTGGAAAGCTAACATTTGAAGGTATCCTAGAGGATATTTGGACCATTTCACTCCATGAAGAAACCCTATTTAACTTGTTTCTTACAGTGAGTTAAGCCCACCTTCTCTAGTGTGCAGTTCACAGTTTCATAAAACAGCCTACTTCATGAGTCCTCTTCTGACTTCTTGTAACTCCGATCTTTTTGTCTAGGCCTCATTTTCAACCAATTTCTTTCCTGCAGTCCTCAATATTTTTAATGTTTTATTTATTTCTGAGAGAGAGAGAGAGAGAGAGAGAGAGAGCAAGGGAGGGTCAGAGAGAGGGAGGCACGGAATCTGAAGCAGGATCCTGGCTCTGAGCTTGCTGTCAGCACAGAGCCTGATGTGAGGCTCGAACCCATAAACCATGCGATCATGACCTGAGCTGAAGTCGGACACTTAACTGACTGAGCCACCCAGGCGCCCCTCCTGCAATCCTTAAATTTTAGTTCTCAAATCAAAACCATCCTTTTATCTTTCATTTCCAGTTTCTTCCTTCCTCTTTCTCTTCCTTCTTTCCCTTCCTTCCTTTCTTTCCCTCCTTCCTTCATTTGTTTGTTCATTCGTTCCTTCCTTCCTCGATTGTTCCCTCCTTTCCTTTCCTTAGTTTTTTCTATAATTTCTCCAGTTTCAGTCTCCAGTCATTCAACTCCTCCACACACCTGGCTGGGTGGTCTTGCTAAAACAAACATTTCATTTTATGTTCCTCTCTCCTATAAATATTTATCATGTTTCAATTTCCTAGGAGTAAAGTCCAAATTCCCTTTAAAGTTCAGTAATCTGATTTTGATTTATCTTCAAGATCTCCTTTTGACCACTCCCCAAACCTTCCTCTTTTTGTCCAGCCAATTCTTTATTTCTGGCAGTAATACATTATCCCACGATAACACGGTCTTTTACACCTCTCCGCCTTTGTTCACACATCATGATTCCTCTTGGGGGCCTTTTTGCCACATTGTTTTCCTGGACACATCCTAAAGATATATAACTCAGACAGAAATTATTCTCTGTACTTCCATGAATCATTCTTCCCTTTGTGCTTGCACTAATTGAACTCAGACTTGCATCATATCACTTATACTGCAGTTCCTTATTTTGTCCACTTGAGTGATAACAGAGCTACTTCACACTTATATTTACATTTATATCTTACTGAATATTTACGTGGATGAATACTACACAGAGAGAAATATCACAAAATTTAGGGATGATCCTAAATCCTAAAAGTTTTCTTTTTTATCCTCAGTTCCCTTTCTTCTGATATCTTTCATTTACAGCATCTAAAATTTATAAACAGAATAGAGAACTATATCTAAAGTGTCTCATTTTCATTGTTTAGAAACTCTGCAGTGAATATCAGCACCAGGCAAGGAATGGAATACTTTTCTGTACCAGAGAAAATGACCCTGTTCGTGGCCCAGATGGGAAAATGCATGGAAACCTGTGCTCCATGTGCCAAGCCTTCTAGTGAGTATAGAATGTCAAAGTGTCTAAAGAACGCCAGAGAGAGAAGAGACCTTACAGATGGTCTAATAGAACTAGCCACTTTCATAGATGGGGAAGCTGTGGCTCAAAATAGGGAAAGGAGTTGAATAAGTTGAACACTTAACATTGAGAATGTTAGCCATAAAGCTGGGAACTACTTACTTTAATATGACGGTTTCCCCTACACTCATTCTCTTACCATTGGAACATCCTGACAGCCATGAGCTTGTGCAAATATCAAATCCTCCCCACTGCTGAAGCATCATGTGTGAACCTGCTGTACAAGTTTGCAGGCATCTCATATTCTGGAGAGGTTAGGGCCCAAAGTGAACACTTAAAGCAGAAATTGATTATTAGAGTTGCTGTTGCCCATGAAACAACCATGAACCCTTATAAGATTAAATATTACTGCACATAATGTGATGTTTCTCAACAGGTTAGAATTGAACTGGCAGTTTGCTTTCAAAATTTGGAACTGCTCCCAGTTTATATGATTGAGCTCGGTTTAAGGAGTTGATTTACATTTCAAATCTCTGGCCTGTTGTTTTGATTGACAGCCATGTGTAGCTGAAATACCATCAGTTAACTGTACATACAGTGCAATTCCATTGTGCAAAGCAAATGTAAGCTCATTTGGTTTATCAGTGTATGAAAATTATTGGCCTTTTTCCATCCACCCTGTATTTTGTTTTTCGATAACACAGCTGTGAGTCAGCAATACATGTAAGGTGAATTAATAAAGCTAAGGTGCGCACAGTGTGATAGATGGACTACAGACTTAGGAGGAGAGAAGTTGTTTAGTTGTAGTCTTGTCCTCCTGTCCTAAGAGTATAGCCAGCGCCCTCTCTGCCTCACCTTCTCTCTGTGAAACAAGGGAACCAATCGATGTGCTTGTAAAGGCCACTGTCAGCCTCCAGGTTTACTGTCACTATGGTACCTGTTTTGATACCTCCTTGGTGGACATTGATGACATTTCTTTTCTGACCCCAAGGCAACTATATTTCTCTCAATGTTAAGCAAGCACTATGAAGAAGTTATGGCAACTTACCATACTGGAGGCTATTTTGTCGCCTCTCATTGGTTTAGTGAAAAAAGGACAAAATCGCTCTTCCTAAGGAGGGAGGAGAAATTAGCAATGCAAGAATGTGGACAAATAATCGCCTGTAGTTGGTCCTACAGATTCTTCTGGTTTTCTCTCTCATTCAGCCAAGCAGAAGCTAAAGAAAATGAAAAGGCTAAAGAAGAAGCAAGAAGGAGAAGAGAATCTGGGAAAGCACCCTCATATGCAGTGAGTGGAATCCACCCAACCACTCCTACTTGGCCCTATAATTTGAACATATTTCAGAGTCTAGAGGGTACAATATTGCCCAGCAAAAAGTCCCAGGAAATCTTAACTCTTTTCTCCAGAGACGACATTGAGATGAATACTATGGGCGCTTGATCCATTCTTGCTGGCTCAGAGACTAACACTGTACAATAAAAATAAGTTATTTGAAGTCTGAAAAAACTGAGTTTTAATACTGGTTTCACCAGTACAGACTGTGGTAAACCACTTTCCAGAGACATGTGTATTTTCTACCTGTGAGCTTTTGAAATCTCACATCTGAGTTGGGATCAAAATACCTTCATTCTGCACACAGAAAGCCTGATTTTTTACCCCTGAAATGTTATAATATTTGTTTCCACAGCCTTCTATAAGTTATTATAGCCTATTGTTGTGTGTGTGTGTGTGTGTGTGTGTGTGTGTGTGTGTGTGTGTGTGTTTGAGAGAGAGCACACAAGTGGTGGAGGGGCAGAGAGAGAGGGAGAGAGAGAATCCCAAGTTAGCTTCACACTCAGCACGGAGCCTGATGCAGGATTCGATCCCACAACCCTGGGATCATGACCTGAGCCAAAATCAAGAGTCAGACCCTCAAGTGACTGAGCCACCTAGGCACGCCATCGCCTGTTGCTTAGAAGATTAGAGTCTCCTGCTTCTCCCTCTGTGATTTAGTCTTTCCCTTATCCAACTATCCTCCCTAACATGACTGAAGTTTCAAAATATTAATAATATTAATCTGCTTAAAGCCCACAAATGACTCATCATTAACTGCAAGGTACACCTCAACCTCCTTATCTCTTCTTATTTGACTTCTTACCTTCATTTAGAAGTTCCTGTTCTGCTGTATGCCCATGTAGTTTCCAACTTTGTTTCTCAATTTATTTTAACAATCTAGTATGCATATTCCCTGATCCCATTCTTACCCCCGAAAATTCTGTTTGCTCTTCAGTCTCACTCAAATTATTCCTTTTCTGTGACATCTCCCCTGGCTTTCACAATCGGATCTCATGGCCTCAACCTCTGCGTTTTCAGATTTTCTTGTACCAATATGTTTGCACTTATTTTATTCTGTTTAGATTATAATGGAGTTTACTTGTCCCCTTCTTTTATTATATTTTGACACCCTATTATGTTTTACTCGTTCCCGTCTCTTAGCAAATGAGGAGTTTTGTTTGCTGAACTGAATTTTACATGTGAGAGAAACACAACTAAAATCCTGGGGTCAAAGAAATAGAACATTAATTCCTATCCCTGTAGATGTTCCAGTCTTCCACTTCGAATAGGCATAAAAGCAAGTATCCCCAATGTGCTTTCTCTGTCTTGGCAGGAGCTGTGCAGTGAATACCGCAAGCTTGTGAGGAACGGACGACTCCCCTGCACCAGAGAGAATGACCCCATCCAGGGCCCAGATGGGAAAATGCATGGCAACACCTGCTCCATGTGTGAGGTGTTCTTGTGAGTAGCACTGTGGCTGGGAACACGAGGAAGAGTTTTTGTCCTTTCTGCTTCAGGTCTTAAATTTTTTTAATGTTAGCTTTGTTGTATTTTACTTCTTAAGTTGTGTTTTGTTTCTTGTCAGTGGCATTTTTGCACAATATCATAATTATCAAAGAATAACTCCTGCTCTGTCTTGAAAGAGACAGAAGGAGGTCCACATGTAGCTCCTTCTCTTACCCTTTTAACACAATCTGTCTTGGTCTCTAAGGTCCAGTCAGTGCTTCGGCTTCACCCCTGTGTTATAGGGTTCTGTCAGTCATGTCATGTTCTTGAATAGAGGCCAGTCGTTCTTGGGAGGGGGAGGGAAGTTAGGAACCACCTATGTTGCCATCATGGTGACGTCACTCCTAACCAACTCCAAAGAATAATTCCTGCATATCAATCACCAGTTGAAGTGATCACTGTGTAAGCGTACGAGATGTAAACAAGGATCTCAACCCTACAGAGTGGGATGTGAAGTCATCTGAAATCACACAACAATTCACAGAGCAAACATATCAGTATGCAAAACGGTACAGTAGTTCATACACAGGGCCTGAAAGAACGACTTGGAATAGGAAAGATGAACATCTGGCACAGAGAATCCCTCCTGTGTGTGTCGTCTACTCAAACAGCCATGGTGAAGCCTACTCTATGTCCCTACCCCTCAGTGGTTCCTTCGTGATGACCGGGAGTTTCCTTCATAGCACTAAGCACTAAGTATAGCTATAAATTGATATATGTGACTATATGTTCAATATCTCTCTCTTCACTAGACAATTGTTGTTATGGAAGGGATTCTAGAGAATGTAAACAGTGAGTCCAGATTAACTTTCTGTTCCTTTGTGAGAGCACCACTTCAGCAGAAAAGCAAAAACATATTTAGAGGAAATGAATACAAACCATGTCCTTTGAGGACTGTTAAGGCATGGCATACTTAGCAAGGAGAGAGTTATGGTTTTGAAATACCCAAGTAGCTTTTGTTTTTAAATCTATACCATAGAATGTATACCGTAGGCTGTCTCTATGGATGAAAGTGAGGGCAATGAGTAGAATCTCTGGAAGGGATACAGCTCAATGCCAAGAACAACCTGCTAATAGTTTGAGAATCTCAGGGGTAGAATGACCTATGTGGGCTTTCAAGGATGATGTAAGTAAAGTATTTATTGGCAGATTAAAGCAAAGCTAGATAGTAATCAGACATACTGAGTATTGGAAATTGTGAGTACTGGAAGATTAAAAAACTGCCTCTGAATTAGAGCTTACATCTGAATTGTACATTTATCAGTTCTGTGTCCTTGGGGGAGTGATCCAGTCTGTCAGTTTTCTTATCTATACATGGGGTTATAACAGAAGTTTTACAACATGCAGCTGAGAAGATTTCATGGTATGAGCACCAGATTAGGCACATAGTAAGAATTTACTAAACGTTAACTACAAAAAGTAAATGATACTTGAGATCACTTTCATTCTGGACATTCTATCATCCTTACTGATCTCTTTTTTAATCATTCTCTTTCAGTCGAGCAGAAGAAGAAGAAAAGAAAAAGAAGGAAAGTGAGTCAAGAAATAAGAGACAATCTGAGAACACAACTTCCTTTGAGGTGAAGGAAACTTTTCCAAAAGTCAGAGCATGGGGACCTGGGCTCCATAGATGGCATTCAGGGAACTCATACATTCCCTGAAGCTATTTGTTTATATGGGAGCATATACACAGGTGCATAAGGTGACTATTTCTAGGTCAAGTGTTTATAACTTTTATCTTTTAAAGATAGTCATTTCTTCTAAGAACTATTCTAAAATAAACCACTTGCTGACCCCCATTTGAGAAAAAAAAGTCTAAACTGCAGCTGTTTTTCCAATCTGATCCAACCTGTATTCAAAACCTCAAACTTCCTTCCTCAATTTCACAGGAATTGTGCAGAGAATACCGCAAATTAAGGAAGAATGGACAGCTTCTCTGCACCAGAGAGAATGACCCCATCAAGGGCCCAGATGGGAAAGTTCATGGCAACACCTGCTCCATGTGTGAGGCCTTCTTGTGAGTAAAGCTCAGGACTGCTGATGGTGGGTGACAGGGAACCAAGGGAAGTTTTCAAACAGTTGTGAATAATCAATTGTGAGAAATGCATTTTCCTCTTCAGTATAACAGTCATTTTGCAGTATCACAGTTTAAATGAACTAAACACACACACACACGCACACACACACACACACACACATTAAAATACAAAACCAAAAAGCAAGTGGAGAGCTTTCAGATAATGATTATTGTGATATAAATAGATCCTGAATAATTTCTTTTAGGATATTTTAGATAGAACTCAAGATCTTTTATTCAGAGAAGAGAATACTCTGGCAACCACACTAATTGCTTTTTAGTTAGTTGAAGGATTGTCAGCTAAAATAGGAAATGGATGAGCTTACATATAAAATATCGTTATGGTGCATGGCAGGTTTTAGGAGAGTGTTTGTAAAAGTTTACTACCTTTCTTCTTACTCATTTGTGTCATCTTAAAAAGTAGAATTAAAATGGATGAGAGCTGGGCGCCTGGGTGGCTTAGTCGGTTAAGCGTCCGACTTTCGCTTAGGTCATGATCTCGCGGTTCGTGGGTTCGAGCCCCGCGTCGGGCTCTGTGCTGACTGCCAGCTCGGAGCCTGGAGCCTGTTTCAGAGTCTGTGACTCCCTCTCTCTCTGACCCTCCGCTGCTCATGCTGTCTCTCTCTCTCTCTCTCTCTCTCTCCTAGAAATAAATAAAAATATTTAAAAAAAATAATAAAAATAAAATAAAATGGATGAGAGCTATAGGGACACAGATTTGAACACAACACAAAGATGAACTTTGTAATATTTGAAATAGGTGAAGCCTGCTCTAGGAACGGTGGAAGTTGAATCCTCACGTACAGGAGACTAAAGTATAACTGTAGAATAAATGGCATGATGGATCCTCAAAAACAAGAGTCTATGATATCCCTTAAGCCTTTTGATCTTTGTCTCAAGAGACACTCCACTTGATTTTCTATAAACTCAACCTCTGAAAGCTTTCAGTCGTTCAGTCTTCCTGGGCAGAGAACAATTTTCGTCCCACGGTGGTTGGGCACAGAAGCATTAAGAATCTCCTACGTGGAAGTCAGGATGATGGCCATATAATCATTATAACCAAAATTTATTGAATGTGTGTCATCAGCAAATATTGCTAAAGGCTTTGCTGCCTAATCTCATTTGATCTTCACGACAAACATGAAAAAGGTCTTTCTTATATTAGCACAAGTTATAGATGACACAGGCCCAGAGAAGTTGAGAAAGAGAGAAACATCAGTGAAGAAAGAAAAAATGAAGAAAACGATGTTTTTCACTGTATGGTATAGATAGAAGATCATTTAGGAATGCCATTATCAACTTCTAGTAATTATATCTGTCTGGATTTAGGCTTGTTTCAGTGTTTTTCTTTAGCTCCACATCAATCTTTCAATGACAAAGAAGGAATTCTGCCACCTAGTGGTTAGCTCTGCTGCTTCCTCTGATGATTTTCTAGGGTGGAAAAAAAATGCTTCTTAAATATTCTAGTCAACTTAGACTCATGGTAAAATTTGGGTCAGCTTGCATATAAAGAAAAATGAGAAATCTCAGAATTTTGGAACTTTTTTAGTACTTTCCTCCAAACCCTATAAAAATACCTTATCAAAAAGAAATAAAGTTGTATTTATTACCTCATATTTTATGGGTATATTAGCAAAATCTGTTGGCTTTTTTGAGAGTTGTTCTTCCCTACATAGTCTTTTCTTGCACACATTCATACAAAATGAAAACTGTCTTTTCACCTTTTAAGGAAGTTTTAATTTGATCAGTGGAAGCAAGTCTTATGTTGACTGAAGCATAATCTATCTAATTTTTACATACAATTTAAAACGTGTTTACATTTTAAAATTAAAACTTTTTACATATTAATTTTTTCTTCTTTCTGTACACCAGGATTAAATTGTGCTATAGATCCAATTATGCCGAACTTGATCTGCAACACTGTTAGTTGTCCAATATGGCTAAAAGCTGTCACCCTCACTGTATTCCCATCATATGCCTACTTTGGGAGGATTGACTCCTAATAATAATTACACTGATGATGGCACTGATTACTTTTGATAATCACTTTTATTATGTACCAAAAACTTATTCTAGTTGCTTTACGTGTATTGACTCATTTAACGCTCACAACAATCCATTAAAAAAAATAGTTACTACTTCTCTTTATCCCTCCCTTCCGCTTCCCCATTTAAAAATAAGGAAGGCACAGAGAGGGTCAGACATTCCTTGTGTTCCTTATACAGTTTGGCTCCAGAGTCTGTCTCCTTAACCATGCTTAACTGCCTCCCAAAAGCCAAGTATTACCAATGTAGAAGGAGTTATTGCAGATGCAAAAGAATCTGCAATAGGAAGTATTAATGCAGTGCCTTTGCTGAGGAGCTAAATGGCTTTCCTCATGAAGGGACTTTTTCTTACACACTATTGTCTTAAGGTGAAGTGAATCATTTCAGTTTATTATCCACTAAAATGACAGACTGCGATGAGTGGATCTTTGGGGGTGCTTGAGACTTGTCAAGGCAACAAATAATCAACCTGTACATGTTAAGATTCTATTCTACTATATTAAGACCCATTTCTTGTTTTTCTCTCATTTTCTTTCCCTGATCCATATAGTCAGCAAGAAGAAAGAGCAAGAGCAAAGGCTAAAAGAGAAGCTACAAAGGTAATTTTCTCAGGACTGCTGATTCTGTGCCTTGACTTTTTTTCCCCCTTAAGACACTCTAGATATCTCATTAGCAGAAATGTTTTCCTTTTCAGTTGTCATGCCTGAAATGAACAACAACAAAAACCCTGAAAAAAAAGGGTCTTGATTAGAAGTTTCCAGAGTACCAATTATATTGCATGATATTTCAAATTTTGAGTTTCATTTTATAAAAAGTAGAGGGTTAACTCACTTAGTAAGCTATATTCTCCATATCTGGCTTTTCTTAGATTTCTGTTGTCAAGCACGGATTATTAATGTCAATTTTTATAATTTACTCATTTCAGATTACATCATTCCAACCTCTGTTGTTTCATATAGGGAGTACAATGTCCCTATTGCTTACATTAGTCCAATTTACAAAACAAAGTGCACATATATTATCATTTTTTATCTTTGTCACCTCCAAATATGGAGAAAGTACTAATATTCTCACCCCAATTATTAAGCCTATCCTTTGACTTTCTAATTATTCTTAATCTACCATCCATGGTTAATTTTATAATTTTACAAGCAGCACAATAAAATCTGTCCATAGGTGATATTGGAATACTCTCATATAATGGCCATAATCGGGATTTACCTTTATGTATTTTATTTCCTAACAGCTGCAAAGTGTAAGCCTACTATTTATTTGGGGGAAAGTTGACAGAGTTTGAAAGTTTATCTTTAAACTGACTCATTTGCTCATTAACTTTCCTGCTGTTAGTTGGAGCCATCCCTTTACTAGTACTGTTAGTGTTGATTTATTATTATTGTATTATCCATAGTGTCTGAACAGCTGCTGGGTCATCATAGATTTTCCAAATGGTCAAAACAATTCTTCTCTCTGCTTCTATCGGACCTCTCCCGTGTGAAATCCGCATCCCTCTACTTTATCGAGTGATTCCCAGAAACATGTCAGTTTCTCCAAGGGGTCACACTTGTTCTCTCCTCCATATCTTTATTTGAAATATGTCTTTATTTCTTAGTTTAAACATCTTTTTCTTTTCTTATCAGCCTTCTAAAGACAAATAGAGGTTCACCAATAATTTTTGGACACTACGTTCTTATTTTAATTTTTTCCGGCTTTACTGAAGTTTAATTGACATATTACACTGTACAAGTTGAAGGTGTCTATCGTGATTTGGTACACTTAAATATTATGAGATAATACTCCCATAGCATTACCTAACACTTCCCTCACATCACATAATTACATAGCTATGTTTCTTTTTTTGTGGTGAGAACATTTAGGATGTACTCACTTAGCAACTTTCAAGTATACTGTATAGTATACTGTTATATTGTTAACTGTAATTACCACACTCTACATTAGATCTCCAGAACTTAATCTTATAACTGGAAGTTTATTACTTTTGACCAACATCTCCCTATTTCCCCAACCCCACCCCGTCGCTCGCAAGCACCATTCTACATTCTGTGTCTATGAATTCAGCTTTTTTAGATTCCACATATGAGTGAGATCATACAGTATGTTTTTTTCTATCTCACTTATTTCACTTAGCAGAGTTCACTCTAGTTTCATCCAAGTAGTTGTAAATGCCAGGATTTCCTTCTTTTTCGTGAAGGCGGAGCAGTATTCTCACTTCTTCCGAGAACCTCTTCTTCTAGGTCCATTGAAACCCCTCACCTGTGATCTATCAGAGCTTTTATAGACTTTGTTATGTAACACAACACAAACACATATATTTTATATTGTTCTCTACCAATTTTGTCAGCCTTCTTCTACACCTGGATTGTAAGCAGCCTCAGGAGAATGATAATGTTAAATATTTCCAGATCCACTCTAGTGCCAGGACAATGCTGAGTCTGTGATGGAAGCTTTGTGAACACTTACTGATTTACTGTTACATGTCCTCACTTTTCTTTTTTCTTTTTACTCTGCATTACTTATTCCTCAGAATAAGCAAAAGTATAGGAAGGGTAGGAAATCATTGTGAGAAAATATTTTCCAGGAGCTCTGCAGTGAATTTCAGAACCAAGTGAGGAATGGAATGCTCATATGCACCAAGGAGAATGACCCTGTCCGTGGCCCAGATGGCAAAATGCATGGAAACAAGTGTGCCATGTGTGCAAGTCTGTTGTGAGTACCTGTCCTCATCTGTCCCACCGAATCTCTTCATCATCCATCACGTCTGAGCCTCAGTTTCTTTAGAAATGTGTAGAATACATACCATGGGTTGTGTGCTAGGAACATTGAAAAGCACATGGGCAAGGTAGGAAGTAATATTGAGTCACACAGTGACAATGTGGTTCTCTATTCAGTTCTTCTATCGTCTAGGTAAGTCATGGGAAAGTCTTAATTTAGTGCTGTTATGTTTGTAACACTTGATAATCATCATTCATAACAGAGAGGGAGTAGAAGTTTGATGATTTGGATGCAGTGGTGTCTTTGGTCTCTTTCCCACCTCTTACAGTTTATGATTCTATGAATATATTCAGATATTGGCTAAGGAAGGACCAGGTGAACAAAGATCTATGAGGCTGTGTGCAAGAACAGTTAAAATAACCTGAATGAGAAATGAAATAGAGAGGATTGCATTTATCCTTTTAGGGACATTACCATGCACAGGTGAGATAAATACTTTAATAAGTGGTTTAGTGTAGAGAGTAAAACCCCAAGAGGCAGAGCCATGTAATAGGTGTTTACTGAAATGTCTTGTGAAGCCAGGTCCAGGGACTTTTATGCTATTGTTTTGGTGACTCAGACCTCCTCTGGTTCTCCTCCTTCCTAGATTCCTAGTCCTCTACAGAATCTGACACTAAATTAAATATTGAGGGAAATGTTTAAATACTATCTGTTGAAAGAGGTGCAAAGTTTTTGTTGTCTTGTACCTTTTCACATGTCCTTACCCAATCTCAGGTGTATGCACATAGCTCCTCAAAGGAGAGATTGACAGATTAGGCTGTAGAGCAGGCATTGGGCTCAGATTCAGGAAATCAAGGGTCTTCTCTTACTTGCACCATTGTCCATGCTGTGGTAGTGACCAGATGTGATGTGATCAATGCTACAGATTTTCCAGCTTTCATAAGCTGAGTATCAGTAGAACATGGCAAGAATGCCAGAAGCTTAGGCTCTTGATCAACCTCAAAATATTAGTGTGGAATCTTCTTGGACTTGCATCATTATTATTTTCTAAAGTATGAATTTCAACTTGAATATTAATGCCCTTAAAATAATATCTAAAATTTTAATTTTATAATGAAACACGGTTTATTTTGACTATGCCCATCATCTGACTTGGTATCACTTCTGCTTTACTTATTGATATGGTGTTTATTTACACGGGAAAAGTTGCACAATTAAGAAAAATCAAGGCAATTGTGGCTTCTTTCAGACCACTAAAGTCACTGACTGATAGAAAAAGACCACATGAGGGTCACAAACTGATTTTAAAAAATGCTAGTTTTATTTTTTAAAAGGACTTGTGAACTACTGAATTTTATTATTTTTTGATGATTATTATCTGCAAAGTAATAGCACCTCTTAGACTGGATAAATTTGTACTGAAGAATGAATCTGAAGATCCTCATTCCTTTTTAAAATACATTACTAAAGAGAATAGAAAAATTGTACTTAGTGTTTCTTCTTTATTTTTGATTGCAGCAAACTTGAAGAAGAAGAGAAGAAAAATAATGATAAGGAAGGAAAGGAGAAAGTAGGGGCTGGCAAAGTGAAGAGAGAAGCAGTCCAGGTAGTTGTTTCAGGCCATCAGAGCCACATAACTCTAGGCAAGCCTCCTGCTCCCGCTTCCTTATCCCATGTCCGCCGTGACTTCTCAGACTGAGGACAAGTATTGGACCCTCGTGTATAAGAAAACCCCTTCTTCTTATTCAGTTTATTCACTCCACATATGATATACTTGCTTGTGCACTTGAGAAGAGGTCAATCACCATTTTCTCCACTGACCATGTGAATTGTAGTATCTCCAAAAAAGAAACATATACAGATTGCTGTCTTATTGTATGAATGCAAATCAATAGAGGCAGATTTCAAAATTTATTCCATATCTTTTTATATAAGGATGTTAAGTTCAAAACAAAACAAATAAACCCTACGTTTTAATTCCAGTTAATTCTCTGTGAGGTTTTGGGAAAATTACTTAACAGCATTTTTGAGCCTTCAGTTTGCATTCTCTCATAATGATAATGATGATGATGGTGGTGGTGATGACTATTAATTAGCTGCTAGTGTATGTCACCTGGTATAACAATTTTATGGCCGATCTTTGTAGTAACCATTCAAGGTATGTGATTGTTATCAGTATTTTATAGAAGAGGACTCAGAGGTTCTGATAAGAAGTTAGGAAATAAATATAGTTAATAATTTGAGAGCTAGCAACTGGACCACAAGTTCTGGCTTTAATGCCCACGATGCACCTTAGATTTTGCACCCTATCACCATTTGTAATATTTTTACTGGGTGCATCTCAGGTCTTCATTTTCCTCTCCTGTGTCCTTTTCTAATTTGGATGACCTCACTTCTCACATTTCTCTCTGCTCTCGTCTTTGTTTCATATAATCTACCCTTAACCCCAAAACCAAAATAGTTATTTAGAAACATAAGGCAAGCCATGCCACCCAGTGGCTTCTAACTCGCGCAGAGTAAGAACCAAGGCCCATTTAGTGGCTTACAGTGCCCACCATGATCTGACCTCTGCCATCTCTCAGGCCTCATTTCCTTCTTTCTACCCATTACTGCCCTTATGCCAGCCCTACTGGCCACCTTGTTGCTCTTGGACATGCCAAGCATTAATTCAAGGTATTCCATCTTGTGGGCTCAGTCATATTGTGGTTAGAAATCTGGTCTCGGATTGTCAGGGCTCAGGTACTGGCTCTGTCTCCCTACCAGTAAGGGAGACAGTTAATATTTTTGCATCTTAGTTTCTTCACTTATAAACTAATAAACTATTTTTATGTGTATTATTTTTATGAAGTCCCAAGGAACTTACCTGTATATAACAGCACGTGTCTTAAGTCTTCAATATTATACACACAATGAACTTTACTTTCTATATGGTTTTCCTCATACTCAGGCCTGACTCTCCCTGTCCTCTATCTGTCAAAATTCTGTCCACTTTTCATGGCTCAGAAGAGGTATTAGCTACTCTCCAAGGATTTTCCCTATGTATACAATGTACTTAATAGCTCTATCATCTATTTTGCAAGCAGTTTTCCTTTATTTCTCAGTCATATCATTCTTTTTATTTTAGCTTATAGATGTTTCTATGCATTTTCTCCAAAGACTCTAAACACTCTGTATTTGGTTTCTATAATTGCTCTAACAGATTATCAGAAACCTAGTGGCCTAAAGCAAAACAAACTTACTATCTTTGGTTCTTTACATTAGAAGTCTGACCTGGGTCTTAATGGACTAAGTCAAAGGGTTGGTAGAGCTCTGCTTCTCTCTGGAATCCCTAGGGGAGAATTTGTCTCTTTACTTTTTCTCACCTTCTAGAAGCCATCCGTGTCCCTTAGCTCTTGGACCCCTTCCATAATCTTCAAAGCCAACAGCATCACATCTCTGACTGTTGTTCCTCATTTGTAGCTGCCTCTCAATCTCTTCTGTCTCACTCTTCCTGGTGTAAGGACTGACTCTTGCCGTTATACTGGACATACTAGGATAATCCAGGAGAATCTCCCCATCTCAAGGTTCTTAACTTAATTACACCTGCAAAGTCCCTTTTGCCCTGAAAGGTAATATGATCACCGGTTCTGGGTATCAGGACTTAGACAAATAGGAGTGGGGGCTATTGTTCTGCCAAGCACAAGTTGTTTTTTTTTTTTTTTTTTTATAAAAAGAACAATAGGTGATTCTCTCTCTCTCTCTCTCTTTCTTATTATTGTTTTTAGAGAGAGAGTGAGTGTGCAAGTGGGGGACAGGGACAGAGACAGAGAGAGAATCTTAAGCATGGAGCTTGATGTGGGGGCTCGATCCCACAACCTAGGGATCATAACCTAAATGGAAATCAAGAGTCTCAACTGACTGAGCCACTGAGGAACCCCTGCTCAATTCTTCTTCATATATCTCACAGTACCTAGCCCAGAATAATTTTTGAGTTGAATTGAAGGTTTTCTGATGAGCTAGGTAACAGTAATCTTATACTCCAGATAACGTGTGACCCGAAAAAGTTCCTAAAAAGCATCTTGGCTAAAGCCGACCTTCTACATCACTCTTTTGATATATCCGCTATGTTTGGGGGCATTATATCAAAGGTTTCATAGGGGTAATGTGAAGGAAGTTTTCCAGTGTTTAGTTACCTAATTCTTAAATCCACCCTCATTTGGCAGGAACTGTGCAGTGAATACCGTAACTATGTGAGAAATGGACGGCTTCCCTGCACCAGAGAGAACGACCCCATCGAGGGCCCAGATGGGAAAATGCATGGCAATACGTGCTCCATGTGTGAGGCCTTTTTGTGAGTAGATCAGCCACTGCTGCTGAGTGTGGGAGAAGATAGGCCTGGGGCAGGCAAGGGAGGTGATTTTGAAGATTTTCTCTAAGAAATAGATATGGAAGCTATCTTTGCATTGTTTTCAAGGATTTACAGTTATAGAGCCATATCCTTATCACATTTCTTTGAGGTATTCTCAGTGTTCTAATGCCTGCTGGAATTGCTCCAGGAAGGACTATGTGCTAAGGGCAAATTCCCCCAGACTTAATGGCATACAAGGACTGGGAAATCCATTCTCTGCTTACTTGCCGTCATGAATAATCTAAAGATGTGATCATTAGGTGTTAACAAATGGAGCTTTTGCTAACATCTAGGAAATATTTTCAAGCATCCTCACTGCTTTCTGGGGAGAAGGACAATATCTTTATTTTCCAGAAGAATGTAGTGGTAAAAATTTGTTTACTGGTTTGTTATGATGTATGTGTCTTATTCTTTAAGCAACATTAAAAAACAATATGGAGAAATGTACATTTACTCTCCTACTCCCAGGCTAAGTTGGTAAAGGTATGGAAGTAATGGAGTATTTCTATCTAGAGAGAGTTCCTCTTTGGGATAACAATTACTGGATCCTAGGAATGATTCTCCTCCTCCCCCTCCTACAGCCAGCAAGAAGCAAAAGAAAAAGAAGAAGCTGAATCCAGAGCAAAAGCTAAGAGAGAAGCTGAAAAGGTAGTTGTCCTGGAAGTTTAATACCACAGTAAAAGATGAGGTTTTGCAGTTTCTCTGTAAAAATAACATGAAATTACTGGGGTGCCTGGGTGGCTCAGTCGGTTGGGTGGCTGACTTTGGCTCAGGTCATGATCTCATGGTTCGTGGGTTCGAGCCCTGCATTGGGCTCTGTGCTGACAGCTCAGAGCCTGGAGCCTGTTTCGGTTTCTGTGTCTCCCTCTCTCTCTGACCCTCCCCTTCTCGTGCTGTCTCTCTCTCTCTCTCAAAAATAAATAACAAATGTTAAAAATATTTTTAAAAAAACATGAAATTACTGAAAGCCTGTGTAAGAGGACTCAAGGTTCGTCTAGTCTAGAGATTGATACAATTTTCTTAAAGGATCAGATAGTAGATATTTCAGGTTGTGACCATCTAGTCTCTGTCACAACTCTGCTGTTGTAGCTGTAAAGCAGCCATAGATAATATGCAGACAAATGGACATGGCTATGCTCCAGTAAAACCTTATTTATTAAAGGAGGTGACAGGCCAAATTTTGCTTACAGACCGTAGTTGGCAAACATATGATTTACTTCATTCCCGTGCTTTTAAATGAAGGTTTAAAAACCAGAGAGAAGGAAGAACTTGCTCACAAAGGCAGTGGGACTTTTGGTATCAGAATCCAAAGTGCTAACAGTTACAAAGTAGAAACAAAGGATTGAAACCTAGACCTCTAGACACCACATCTAGCATATTCCTAACCCACTCTGTAGTTTTGGATGACCACGTTTGGTCAAATCAGTTATTTTCCTTTATTTATTTCTGGTGACAGTATTTGAGGGAAAATAAAAATAATACATTGGACACACTAGGATAATCTAGGATAACATTTTCTTGGCTTCAAAAAGACTGATTCCAAGTATATTTTTCAAGTTTGTGGTCATTTCCTTGCCCTCGTCAAAGACGAGTTTTATGTGTGGGTACAGATTCAGTCTGGATTTGGGAGCTACGTCTCCAGGGAAAAGAAAGAGAAACCTCTTTTTAAATCATGCGTGTTTTGTAGGAATTTAATGAAACAATTGCCAGGGAAAAACATATCTATAGGTCATTTTCCGTTTTTTCTAGGAAACACTTAGTAGGAACCCAACAAAGTAATTTATAAGAAAATACTCCTATACTCTTGCCCTTTCTCCTCCTTTAGGATACATGCAGTGAATTTCGGAGCCTTTTACAAAATGGAAATCTTTTCTGCACACGAGAAAATGATCCTGTGCGCGGCCCAGATGGCAAGACCCATGGCAACAAGTGTGCCATGTGTAAAGCTGTCTTGTGAGTACACAAATGAAGCCCCGGCTGTGGGCTGGCAGAGCTGGGGAGACAAAGAGCCAGGATGATTATATATATATATTGTGTTTGCCCTTTCTTTACATATAAAAGGAGCAACTGGTTATCTGTAGAGCATTTTTAGGCAAATCTTTCTCTTTAAAGGCCAAGATTCACAATTCTAAAAATAGATAATATATCTAGGTTATCAAATTGTCTCTTAGTTCTGGGGTAGAGCCTACCTATTAATAGAGCACAACATCTTTCTAGGTAAAATTTTAGGGCCTTTGCTGTCAAATGGATCCCTTCTCTAGATTATCTTTTAATTACCACTGGGAATATAATATACATACTTTGCTGTCAACCTAACTCCTCTACCTACATTTTTTAAAATATCACATAAAATATTTAAGCCATTCAATAGTCATTTACTGAATATCTACAATGTACAATGTGAATAATGACTGTACATAGATGGATTAAATAGTCTTCTCAGAAATCATAAAGTTGACTGGAGAGTAGACATGGGTACAACTTAATAAAATATGAGGGAGGAATTGCTAAATAAAAAATGATGATTACAGTGTGTTCTGGTACTTCAGGGAAGAGACAGTTAATAGGAAGTTTTGTAGGGGGGGGTAGAACTGGACTTTATAATTTGGATGAGATGTGAACAGTATTGGAAGGAATGAGAGGGGGAGAGGGACACAGCATGGGTGAAGCTCTGGAATTAAGAAACCAGTCATCTGAACAACAAGGAGCAAGTGATTTAGTTTAGTTAGAACTCAGCCACTTTGCCAACTTTGAATGCCAGATCAAGGATTTTGAAGTCAATTCTTTACATAGTGGGAAACTGTTAACATTTTTCAGGTAAGAGAGTAGGTGGCATAAATATGGTTCCTTTTGGAAAGATTCGTATGTCAGCAGCAAAAAGGGGTGGGGGAGAGAAGGAAAGGACGAAGATTCAGAATACTACTGGTGGTGGTAGAGGTTTGCAGGAATATAGGAGCCACTAGATCTCAGTAGAGCAAGAAAAGTAGGAAGGAAGGTGAACGGATCAGCACAGGAGATGTGAAATCACTGTCACAGTGGCAGCAGCCATGGGAGCCGAAGGGAAGAGGACAGAGATGGCTCTAGTGCTTTCTTCTTCATGAAAGGTAGAGAATCCAGGAGCCAGGACACATTTGGTGGAGTAGGTAAGTCTTGTTGGACCTCTTGAACATGAGGTGTTTGAGAAGATTCCAGCTGGAGAGTCCCAGAAAAACGTAGGAAGTGTTAGTAAACCACTCACGTGGTCTTGCTTGTGTTTGCCTACATGTTGGTTTCCCTCTACAGTAGTGAGAGCTCTTCTAGGCTGAAGGGCTCTGCGTAATTTATCTTTATTTTCAGAGGAGAGCCTGCAATGTAGTGGACGTTCAGTAAATGCTGGTGGATTCTGTACAAATCTATTTGGGTCATACGATGAAGAACTCCCAGAAATGGGCTACACTCCCTGTAATCTATTATTCCATACCTCCCTCTTTCTAATTTCCAGCCAGAAAGAAGATGAGGAAAGAAAGAAAAAAGAGGAAGATCAGAGAAATGCTGCCAGGCATAGCTCCCACGGTGGTGGTGGCGGAGGGGGGAAGGCAAAGGTGAGTGAACCTCTAATTTCCATGACCAGGTGGGGTGTAAGTCCCTGATAAGGGTGCCATGGCAGAGCCTGGCCAGAGCCAGTACGTCAGGCCCAGTTTGAAAGCGTCCTCTGAAGGACAGGGCAGTTTCCCCCTCGAAACTGTAGGGTTATATCTCAGCAATTTTTAGTCTCTCTATGGCTCGTTTTGATTTCTTTAATCCTGGAAATAATTAGCATGATGACCTCATCCCAGTCTTCCTGACCCCTTTTTATATAGTGTAGCTCTCAGGCCAGTAATTGATCACAAGAGAGTAAGTGGCATAAACACGGGGATATTCCTCAGCAGCATCACATGCTCTTTATTTTCTTTTATTATTCTCTCTTTCCTTCGATGGGGCCACTTTCTCATGACATTTTTTTCTGCTCATCCAAGGCAGCATAATATGGTGAAAGAGCATGGTTTTCAGAACCAGAGTTTGGGTAGACCTTGCCCCCAATGACGATGCGGCATTGAATAAATTACTTCATCTCACTGAACTCTGGCTTCCCTTATCTAGCAGTACTCTTACAGGGATAAAAGAAAATAACTTAGGCAAGTTTTTAGCACATCTCCCAAGACATTTTTAAGAGTCAGAATGACAGTGTTGCCTGTAAACCCACTCCTTGGGCCTGTGAACACCGCTGCATAGATTATAGCTGCTTCATTTCACTTCTTACGACATTTGGATATCAAGACCCTCTCTTCACTTCCAGCTCTGACACAGGCCTAACATATGTCTTTGATAAATTCTGGCTGTTCTGTTTTTCCATCTTTTCTCCTTAAGGAGGCCACATCCTCACTCTCAAGGGGGTCTGTTTTCTCCACAGTTGGCTTGAGCCTATGTTCCTTGGCATTTGGTATAACTTTGTACTTTCCTCCAGCAATTCTTTCTCCCTTCTGTCTGCACCAGAGGTCAGCATTTTTTTTTTTTTCTGGAAAAGGTCAGATAGCAGATATTTTAGGCATCATGAGTCATATGGACTCTGTTGTTCCTATTCCATTCTAACATTGTTGTGAGAATGCAGCCATAAATACACCTACACGAATGAGTTGAGGGTATGTTTCAAGTTTGATTTATAAAACCTCTATATATAAAAACAGGCAGCCGGACAGATTCATCTTGTAGGCCATAGTTTGCTGACCCTTCATCTTAGCTATGAAATCCCAGCCAACTTTATAATTTCCCAGTGTAGAACCTTAGAAGCAATATTATTGTCTTTGACAACTGACCTCTTTTTTTTTTTTAATTTTTTTTTTTAATGTTTTTATTTCTAAGAGAGAGAGAGAGACAGCGTGAGCAGGGGAGGGTCAGAGAGAGAGGGAGTCACAGACTGAAACAGGCTCCAGGCTCTGAGCTGGCAGTCAGCACAGAGCCCGACGCGGGGCCCGAACCCACGAACCGCGAGATCATGACCTAAGCGAAAGTCGGACGCTTAACCGACTAAGCCACCCAGGCACCCCGACAACTGACCTCTTAGAATATGCGTGATTCCAGTCCCTCTTTCTCTGTAGATAACAGTACTAGACGTTGTAATAAGAGAAACTCAAATCATTTAACAAACTTAACAATACAAAAGACCAAGTAATCCAAGAGACCTACTCTCCTCTCCTTTTTCAGGACCAATGTGCAGAGTATCGGGAAAAGATGCAAAATGGAAAACTTGCCTGTACTCGGGAGCGTGATCCTGTACGCGACGCTGATGGCAAGTCATACAACAATAAGTGTACCATGTGTAAGGAGATACTGTAAGTACTTCTTTCCACTGGCAGTCTCAGAGAGAGTCCCCAGTTCCTCCTATTTATGACTAGCTATTTCTCATTTACTTAAAGCTCCCTCCTGAAAAATTACTGTTTTTGTTGTTTCCCAAATATCATCTCTTTCTCTTATATCCCGTAAGGAACAATGAGCCTTAGTAATGGCAGTTAATCAATGTCTGATTCCTAGTCTAGTTTCTCTCATAATTCTGTGGCCTGCAAGTGCCATTGTGATAGATAGTGTCTCCTTAGAACATATAATGCCTGAGTCCTGTGGCGAGTTCGCAAAGGTCATTTGGAATAGTTGGCCAGCTTAGTTTAAGAGGGTTGTTTCTTGCCATGTGTATGGAACACATTTACTGCATAGTCGAGGATGTTTCTTCTGGGTGTTTTCCCATGCAGAGTGGTACTGAATTGGAGTGCTTTCTGATCCAACTCAGCTACTCTTGATTTGTGTTACTGGGGCAAGTAACACAACCACTCTTGTACATTGAGATGGTTTTCTGGGTGACCTTGGTAGGTACTCGTTCTAAAATTTGATGCATATATCCTAATGCTATTAATTAGGACATTTAATTGATATGAATTTAATAAGTATTTAATGCTTCTCCACACATACATCTTTTTCACCTTTCTCCTTGAAAAGAAATTACAATCTTGTGATAGTTTAAAGAAATGTAAGAAAATCTAATTAGTTCAAATGTTGCATTTTATAGATGAGAAAAACTGAAAAAATTTTAACATTTTTTAAGTTTATTTATTTATTTATTTTGAGAGAGACAGAGACAGTGTGAGTAGGAGAGGGGCAGAGAGAGAGGAAGAGAGAGAGAGAGATAGAGAGAGAGAGAGAATCCCAAGCAGGCTCCACACCATCAGCACACAGCCCAATGTGGCCTCGAACTCACAAAACCATATGATCATGACCTGAGCCAAAACCGAGAGTCAGATACTTAACCAACTGAGCCACCCAGGTACCCCTGAAAATATTTTCTTAACATCAAGGTCTCATGAGGAGGTGAATTTAAGAGCTGAAACCAGAATCCGGTTCCTCTGAATACTAGCCTAATACTTATTCACATTATGAAAATTCATTAATAGAAGCAGGGTAGTAAGTAGAGCAGTGCCATGCTAGGGTTTTAGCATCAGATGATTTCACCTTCATGTTCTGGGACAGGTTATTTCACTTTCCTAGTCTTCCAACTGCTCACATTTAAAATGGGGGTAGTGAAGAGATACAGGAGTGCTGATGCATAGGGGCACATGTACCCCAATGTTCATAGCAGCACTTCCAACAATAATTAAATCATGGAAAGAGCCTAAATGTCAATCAACTGACAAAGGGATCAAGAAGATGTGGTTGATCTATATAATGGAATACTGCATGGCAATGAGAAAGAATGAAATCTGGCCCTTTGTAGCAATGTGAATGGAACTCAAGGGTGTTATGCTAAGTGAAATAAGTCAGGCAGAGACGGACAGATACCATATGTTTTCACTTATAAGTGGAACAGCAGAAACTTAACAGAGGGCCATAAGGAAGGGGAAGGGGAAAAAATAGTTAAGGAGAGGGAGGGAGGCAAACCAGAAGAGACTCTTAAATACTGAGAACAAACTGAGGGTTCATGGGGGTGGAGGAGAGGGGGAAAGGGGTGATGGGCATGGAGGGGGGCACTTGTTGGGATGAGCGCTGGGTATTATATGGAAACCAACTTGACAATAAACTAAAAAAGAAAAAAATTAAATAGATAAATAAAATGGGGGTAGACATTTTATTTTGTTGCCACATAGTGTTTGTTTTGAAAGTTAAATGAGGAGAACCATGCAAAACTCTCTATACAGTGCCTTGCACAAAGACGACACTCAATAAATGTGAACTGTCATTGTTAACACCTTCACTAGTGTTCAGTAGATAATAGGCATCAGCTTGAATAGTAATAAATAATAACAAATGTTACTGTGTTGTCCTTTTGCACAACTTCTACTTTGCAGATATGACTAACATAACTGAGAGAGCATTTCACTTAGGACTTTGTTTCTTTCTGCTTCATATATTAATAGATAATTTCATTAATAGGGACAAATTTAATTATTCTTTGTTGCAAAAAATGTATAAGATAAAATTTTGCCAATGTAATGATTCTTACCTGGAGTATTTAACAAAACACAGCATAGAAGGAATACTTTATACAACCTTTAGAAATCATTCATCTGACAATGAATGGTTTTCGACTGTCTGCATTGTAACAGGCCCTAGTCATGGACAAGCACTCTTCATGTGAACAAGACAAAGGTCCTGCCATGGAACTATAATCTTGTATAGAACAGACAGGTTATAAATAAATAAGCAAATAACTAGGTAGCCCAGGGCCAGATGGTAATAAGGAAAATAAAGCAGAGGAAGGCAACAGAAAGGGATTGCAGTTGCTGCGTCATTTATGGTGTTCAGGGAGAGCCCAATGTGTGAGGGACACCTGTAAAAAGCAAGTGAAGTGAACCATCTGGACAGCTGGAGGCAGAATGTTTCAGGCAGAGCAAGAACCAATGAAAACTTCTGAAGGTTTAAATTACCAAGCTGAAAAACAGAAAGGAGCTCATCATGTCTCAAAATTATTGCATGGATAATTGCAGAAAATGAGTTTGGGGAGACTAAATAAGGCTTTTTTCGGCCAAGAGAAGGATTTTGGATTTTATTCCTTGTGCGATCAGAAGTCACTGGAGGCTTTTGATCAGAGCCACGATTATCACTCGAATTGCATTAAATTGGATCATTACAGTACTTTCTTTATCCAAAGGTACTTGATTAAAATTTCGTGGCTTTATATTTGCTTGAATCTTCAGGATATATTTTACTGCCACTTCCCTATTTCTTATACATGAAAAGGAAGTTCCCTAAAAAGAATATATACATATATACTTATGTATATATATTATATACATTCATACATGTTTGTTTTGTGTATAAAACCAAATGAAACTTTGAAAGAAGAGTAAATGTATTAGATCTTGAGCCAACTGCATCAGAATGACCTGGCTTGTTAAAAATCAGGCTACAGAGTCCCAGTCTAGATCTTGTCCGTAAACCTGTTGGGATGGTCAGTGAATCTGAATTTTTAAAATTCTCACAGGTGTTTCTTAATGTGCATGAAAACTTAGGGACCACTGGCATCAATATTTTATCAGAAAAGAGATTTTAAAAAAAGAACATGATCCTAAGGAACTTTCTAGATTACTGTCTTCTTTCTGTCTTGAGTTCCATACTTTAAAAACTAATACTTTAATGGGCTGATCTACAAATCAAGGCACTAGACTGGTGAGTTGGTGAAGTATTAAAAACCATGACTTAGCATGAAAAGATGAGGACACGGGGCTTGAAACTTGAAACTTGCCTCTAAATAGCTTATGAGTTAATACTGAGAAGAGGTAACAGATTCAGCAAACTTGTTCTCTGTTGTCCTGGGATTATGAAGACCAAAGGACGGAAGTTAAAGGTAAATTTGGACACAAATAAAGGAAACGTTGAAATTACTTGAGTTAATCTACCTAGAATACCTATCTACCCTACTATGATGAGGAAGCTTCTTAGTAACCAAGCTGCCTCTCTGCTTCAAGGATGCACAGAAATTCTCTTGGAAAGAACAATAGGATATGAACTTTAAGACTCCTTCCAAACCTGAGTTTCAACTATCAGGATGACTATTGACTCTTTTCTCTTCCAGGGAAAGAGAAGCAGAGGAAAATAATAAGCAGTCTGGCTACAGATCAAATGAGACCGAATCAGCATCAGAAAAAGTGAGTCACTAACTAGATTTTTACAAGAATTGTCTTTCTATAAGTTAACACTTGGCTATCAAAAATACAGAAATCCATGCCAAACGGAAATCCCTCAGTCTAACACATTACAAAGCACTTTTACAAATCGCAGTTTATTTAATTCTCTCCACAACCTGATCAAATACACTTTTTACACCTTATTTTATAAATTGGAAGAATGAGACTCAACTGCTGTAACAAATTACTATCAATAGTGGCTTGAAACAGCACAGATTCATTATTATATGTTTCTGGAGTTCAGAAGTCCTAACTGGACCTCACTGTATTAAAACTAAGGTGTCAGTAGGGCTGCATTTCCTTGTGGAGACTGTAAGGAGGTTCTGTTTCCTTGCCTTTTCTAACTTCTGGAGGCTTCCTGCATTGGCTTGTGACCACCTTTAAACTCAGCAGTGGCCAGTTGAATCATTTTCATGTGGCATCACTCTGATATTGACTTCCCTGCCTCCCTCTTTCACTCCTCAGAACCTTTGTGATTTTTTGAGCCATGCAGATCATTCAGAATAATCTCTCACCATTTTAAGGTCTGCTGATTAGCAATCTCAATTCTATCTTCAACCTTAATTTTTCCTTACCATGTAAGGCAGCATATTTATAGGTTCCAGGAATTAGAATGTGGACATGTTTGTAGGTCATTTATACTGCCTCCCAGCAAAGTTAAGTGGCTTCCTGACTCTTGAGTCAAGATCTTCAGATTTTCAAGCCCCAATCAAATACTGTGTGAAAACAGTCATTTCCAATATCATCTTTCCTTTTTTTTTTTTTTTTTTTTGTAGGATACGTGTGATGAGTTTAGAAGCCAAATGAAAAATGGACAACTTATCTGCACCCGAGAAAGTGACCCTGTTCGGGGTCCAGATGGCAAGACACACGGCAATAAATGTGCCATGTGTAAGGACAAACTGTGAGTATTTTTCAAAAATGGGCCTTTAATTGTGAATATTAAAGTATAAAAATCCTTTCTCCTCTCTCATCAGTTTGAGAAAATGACTTTTTTTAAAACAGATATGGGCGCCTGGATGACTCAGTCGGTTAAGCGTCCAACTTTGGTTCAGGTCATAATATGGTAGTTCGTGAGTTTGAGCACTGCATTGGGCTCTGTGCTGACAGCTCAGGGCCTGGAGCCTGCTTCAGATTCTATGTCTCCCTCTCTCTGCTCCTCCCCTGCTTAAGCTCTATCTCTCTCAAAAATAAATAACAAAAAATTTTTAATAAGAAAAATAAAACAGATCTAATTGTTAATGAGGTGTTTGTTTACTTTGTCTGAAATGGTTTTTTTTTTTTTCTCACTTTTTCCTCTAGGGAAAGGGAAGCAGCTGAAAAGAAAAAGAAAGAGGAGGACTACATGAGAAACACAGGGGAAAAGAGCAGTGAACACCAGGTAGTGCATGTTAGACATACTAACACTTAAAGCTGGATGCTTGGTTGTAAGGTTAATTCATTCAACAAATATTAATGGATTGTCAACTGAGCCCACTCATGGTGGGAATAATGATAAACAGGAAACCACGGGCAGATGTGGCAAAGAAATAGCATGTGAACCAGGGCCCCAAAAGCAATTCTGATGCACTTAACCACCTGTTTGCAGGACCAGTGACAAGTGTCAACTTACAGTTTCTATCAAGAGGATTTCTTCTTGGAGGTTTTAAAACAAACAAACAACAATTAAGCAAGTAGATACCAAAATTACAAACAAGAAAGCAAATATCAAAAACTTGGAGCTCTGATGATAAATTCTTGACTTGCTGTTCCAGTGCTGTCTTGTATTCAATTTGGGCCTTAAATTTAAAAAAAAATGTTTTTAATGTTTATTCAATTTTGAGAGAAAGAGACAGAGTGTTGGTGGGGGAGAGGCAGAGAGAGGGAGATGCAGAATCTGAAGCAGGCTCCAGGCTCTGAGCTGTCAGCACAGAGCCCAAGGTGGGGCTCGAACCCATGAACAATGAGATGATGACCTGAGCCAAAGTCGGACGCTTAACTGACTGAGCCATGCAGGTGCCCCCAATTTGGGCTTTAAAAATAATATTCAAGGAGCATCAGGGTAGTTCAGTCAGTTAAGCATCAGACTCTTGATTTCAACTCAGGTCATGATCTTGTGGCTCGTGAGTTTGAGCCCCATGTCAGGCTCTGCTCTAACAGCCTGGAACCTGCTTGGGATTCTCTGTCTCCCTCTCTCCCCTGCTCACACACACACACACACACACACACACACACACACTTTCTCCCTCTTTCTCTCTCTGTCAAAAATAAATAAGGCATTAAAAAAATAATAGAAAAAAAACGCTCAATGCTTTATAATAGTAACATGTAGACTATGACACAGTACAATCTCCTCCAATCCATCCAGGGACTCCAATTAGAAAAGAGAAATTAATGGGCACCTAGGTGGCTTAGTCAGTTAAGTGTCTGACTTCAGCTCAAGTCATGATCTCACGGTCAGTGAGTTTGAGCCCCACATGGGGCTCTGTGCTGACAGCTCAGAGCCTGGAGCCTGCTTCGGATTCTGTGTCTCTTTCTCTCTCTGCTCCTCCCCCACTCATGCCTGTCTTTCTCTGTCTTTCAAAAATGAATATTTTTTTTTTAAATTTTTTAAAGAGAAATTGTCAAGTGTCCCCAGGGAAGTTTTCCCATTAATGAGAGAACTTTCCATTAGGTCTATACTGACTTATAAAATGAACCATGAATAGTAATTTTCATTTTTAAAAAATATGTTGGGCATATGCATTTTGGTAAATGAATGGGCTTGAGAAAAGATTTTATTATCCAAGTCCAAATGATCTGTTCAAGAAACCTATTCTATTTATGATCTGGTCAATGTTTTTCTTTTTTTGATATCTATGTTAGAAATTTCAAACAAAAAAAATGCACTCTACATTCACATATGAAAAATATCTAGACATTGTATGTATGTGTTTTGTGGCAAAAAATAGAACTATCGTCTTACCTACAAATGCAAAGTAAAATTTTTCACAGGGCACATGCATTATCATATTTAAACCTGCCCAGTACAAACTTTCAGTTCTAGTATAAATGTCATAGGGATATAAAGTACAGGGGAGTGAAGTCAGTACCAATGTATTAACTTTATATGGCAGCAGATGGTAACTAAATTTATTGTGGTGACCATTTTGCAAGATATGCAAGTGTCAAATCGCCATGTTGTATGCCTGAAACTAGTATAATACTGTACGTCAATTTTACCTCCTTAAAAAAACTAATAAATAAGCCTTCCCCAAATCTATTAGGTAGGCAGTACTGTTGCAATTTTTTTGGTTGAGAATAACCCAAGGGAAGTTAGGTACACACATAATAAATAGAAGAGCTGGAGATTGCACCCATAAAGCAAAGACTGTAATATGGGCAGACAGGTGCTGTCATAAACATATAGGTGTGTGGTATTTGGAGTATCTGGGAAGGGAAATAGTTCCAGGAACTCCTAAAAATTATTGCTGTGAGATATTTAATATTTGAATCGAGTATTCAATTCCAGAGAACTTTTTTAATGCTGCAGATAAAAGAAGGTCTGGAGTTGATGGGTGTGACAATTTAAAGAACGAAAGTTGATGACTATCTAGGTTACTGGCGGTGTCTTTCAAGGGCATCTCCCCATATCTCTACTTTGGCTCTTTGAACTTAGGTAATTTATGACAAATTTCTGTAGATGTCTAAAAATTTCCAGATCCTGTGGACTCAGTCCCATTGTTTTCTTTTTAAGGTTCTTATTTGTCAATGAATGTAAAAGGCAGCATTACATTCTTACAAGTGTTTTGGAGTTTTATTTTCTGCCAGGTAAAAGCCCAGAAGACAGGGAAGTTGGTTAGCAGATTTCTGAGCACAATTCCAATGTTGGCTTTAATTACTTAATCACTCTGAGCCTCATTTTCTCATCTGTAAGATGAGGATAATGAATGCTCATCTAGGTTTTTAATGACAACCAAAGGAAATCCATTAGAGCACACAACAGAGCGCCTGGCATATGATCAGACAGACTTGATTTTTAAAAAAATTCAGTTTTTAATTTTGTTCTTGAGGTACATAGCTAAATGTCTTGCCAAAAAGAGCATCTTTCAGTTCATTCCAGGACCTTTGTATGTGTGGAGTATCGAGTAGAGGTGCAGGGAGACAGGGGTAGCACTCAGCCTGCTAAAAATTGTGTTAACCCACTATAGGCTGCCTGATGAAGTAGTAAAAGTCCACTGGGATGCTGTGGAGAGGATTCTAACTTCCTAAGCAGATACTGAATAAAATTCCTTTGAAACACATTCCATCTCCAACATTTTATTTTGTCTAGATTTTTATTTTCCTCGTCAAATATTATGAGTTTGTATCTCACAAGTTACATTTAAAGTTTTAGAGGTCGGGGGGGAGGGGGGATGGGCATGGAGGAGGGCACTTGTGGGGATGAGCGCTGGGTGTTGTATGGAAACCAATCTGACAATAAACTATTTGTAAAAAAAAAAAAAAAAGAATGAAATAAAATTTAAAATGAAAAAAAATAAATTCCACGACACATAAAAAAAAAAAAATAAAGTTTTAGAGGTCAGACTACCCTGGTAACATCTCTTTTTTTTTCCCACAGGATCAGTGCCATGAATTCCGGAGCATGGTGAGAGAGGGAAAGCTCATCTGCACAAGAGAAAATAACCCTGTTCGAGGCCCTGATGGCAAGATGCACGTCAACAAGTGTGCTATGTGTCAGAGCATCTTGTACGTGAAGAGGTTTATCGATCACTTTAGCATGTTGTGCTCGTTTGTGAGGAGATAGTTCTTTTTTTTAATGTTTTTTTCTCTCTTTTTTTTAATGTTTATTTTTGATAGAGAGAGAGAGACAGAGCATGAGTGGGGAAGGTGCAGAAAGAGAGGGGGACAGAAGATCTGAGGCAGGCTCTGCACTGACAGCAGAGAGCCTGATGCGGGACTCAGGCTCACAAATTGTGAGGTCATGACCTGACCCAAAGTCTCACACCCAGGTGCCCCAGGGACAATTCATTTTAATTTAAAAGTTAAGGCCCTGGGCGTCTCACGTTAAACATATACTAGGCCTTCACTTTAGAAGAAGACAGTCGACTTCTAGAACACTCTCATAGGAAATTTTCATTTTGATAATGAGAAGCATAATTGTACCTGGAGCATCTGGGACACAGAGACAGCTGTTGTAAAGTGTGCCGAAATCACCGACTTTCAGGAGCTGGGAACATAAGACACTCCAGTTCACTCTGCAGTGTTTCACTTCCTCTTATATATGAAGGAAGCAATTACTACATAATAGACTTTCTGTGGAGACTCAAGGAGATAATATTTTTTTAAACATTTATAAACTTTAAAGCAATATAACTATATAAGGAAAATCAATATTGGGGAGTTTAGTTCTAATTTAATATGAAAAGAAAAAAGAGAAATGAAGCAACTCTCTACATGAGCGCCATACAAATATTTTACCAAGGAAAACATGCAGTGGCCTTCTAGGAGTATATATCATTCTCGGTGACAGCATAGTAACTCAATGTATGAAAGTTGGTAGCATTGCCACAAATGCATTATGACAATTCCAACAACTAGGACTCATTAGTAAAAAAATATATATTTTAGATATTTTTTAAATATGAGAAAATGGTGTTAGATTTGCTAAGGTTTAGAATTAGGGAAATACTTAGTTTTAAAAACTCACAAACAACCCTATAAAAAATGATCTTTCCTTTTTGTATTCTGCAGTGAGCGAGAAGCTAATGAAAGAAAAAAGAACGATGAAGAAAAATCAAACACCAAGCCCTCAAATTATGCAAAGGTTATTTTTTCTTAATATTTTTGAAAGATACAACACAAGCAGGGGAGGGACAGAACAGAGAGAGAAGGACAGAAGATCTGAAGCAGACTCCTTACTACAAAGAGCCTGATCTGGGGCTGGAGCTCACAAACCTTGAGATCATGACCTGGGCCCAAGTTGGACCCTCTACCCACTGAGCCACCCAGGTGCCCCACAAAGATGATTTCTTAAAAGATATGAAGATGACTATTTTCCCATTCATCCTCAGCATCTTACATTCTCCTCCTGTTTTTGATAATAAAAATGCCCACATTCTGCTTCAAAGAAAAGAGACTTTGCTAATATTTGCATTTTGGTTATAACAACATTTTTTTCTGGCCTTAAGATTCAACATTTTTCTCACTTTTGTAGAGAATTCTCCTGCAGTGTGTGTCCACGCTTGCTTTATTCTCTCCTCTTTGGGAGAAATAGGGATTGAGAAATAGAGTATAAAAATCTTTACAACCTCGGGGCGCCTGGGTGGCTTAGTCGGTTAAGTGTCCGACTTTCCGACTTTCACTTAGGTCATGATCTCGCGGTTCGTGGGTTCGGGCCCCGCGTCGGGCTCTGTGCTGACTGCCAGCTCAGAGCCTGGAGCCTGTTTCAGAATCTGTGTCTTCTCTCTCTCTGACCCTCCCCTGCTCACGCTGTCTCTCTCTCCCAGAAATAAATAAAACATTAAAAAAAAAAAAAATCTTTACAACTTCAACTGCATGCTTATCTCTGACACTAAGTGGGAAATGAGGTTTCAGGTAGTTTGTCGACATTGATTTTTACAATTCAGGTAATATAAACTAATTCAAAGCTTCCCCTTCGGCTTCTCTCCTTGATATTTTTTTCCTATTTCCTCCAGATGGCTTTCTGAGCATCAACGACTCAATAGTGTGTATGTGAGATGCTGCCTTTTCTATTTACTTTTCAATCCAAAGGAGACATCTTCAGTCCTTTGCAGTGATAAGCACATTTGTAGCATTAGATTTCTGTGATATTGTCCTTGGGTCAAGAGTACACCTCATGTGGAAAATGAGAGAAAGGAAGAAAGAGTATGGGAGACCAGGAGATCTGTCAAGTCTTACTCCCTGTTTTTTTAGGACCAGAGCAGGGAAGTTTAGAATGAAGTGGAGGATGGAAAGAGGAAAAGACTTTCTAAAACCAAGTTTGAGAAAGCCACCAAGCCAAGAAGGGAGGAAATCCTATTCACTTCCCCTTTCTCATTTTTTAGGACGAGTGTGGTAACTTTCGGGAGTACATGAGGAATGGTGAGCTCATGTGCACGCGAGAGAATGACCCCGTGCATGGTGCTGATGGGAAGTTATACAAAAACAAGTGTTACATGTGCAGAACGATCATGTGAGTAAGAGAATCCTGTTGCCCCTTCAGTGCGGCAATTGCATTTTTATTTTTATTTTTTTTCAGTGCAAAAAGTGGGTTTTATCAAGCATGGGGATAGGACCTGTGGAAATTGCATTTTTAGGAGCTGGTGGATTAAATAAATGTTTGTACATGAATCAATGGAATCCTTAAAATAAGTCTTTAGATTCGAGGCCCTTATGTTGAGAACATCTGGTATAGAAGAAAGAAAGCTTGGACTTGCAGACAGGAAATGCAGGTGTAAATTCTAACCGTGATAAATTCTAACCACGGTGTCACTCATAACTAAAATTTACACTCAACAGAGAAGTCTTTCTATTTAAGAAATGCAGATTTTTACACCCCAAACTATATTGTCAGAAAAATCAAGGCTAAGGAATTAGTTTTTCATTTAATTTTTTTAATGTTTATTTGTTTTTGAGACAAAGAGAGACAGAGCATGAACGGGGGAGAGGCAGAGAGAGAGTGAGACACAGATCTGAAGCAGGCTCCAGGCTCTGAGCTGCCAGCACAGAGCCCCACGTAGAGCTCAAACTGGTCAACTACGAGATCATGACCTGAGCCGAAGTTGGATGGTCAACCAACTGAGCCACCCAGGCACCCCAGGAATTTGTTTTTTTAAAAGGGGTTTCTAGGTTATTTTGACGGACAACCATATTTGGGGACCAATGAATATGAAGAGACTAATGAGCACAGCTATGAAAAAATTTATGTGAACATGGTAATAATAATCAGTATTTTTTTCCCTGCTCTTTGTAGTATGTTCCTGGAGATAGAAATTATCAATAGTACCCTCTTTTTATGTTCTAGGAAAAGCTAAACTCAAGGAATTTAAGCAATTTGTCCAAGGTTATATGTCGATTAAGTGATGAGCACTCTAAACCAGTTTGCCATTGTGTACTTTTCTTTATATCATTCTCTGGTTGAATGTTCTATATCATATTTTATTAAGGGTTGCTCAACTTCCCTCTGGAAGTTATAGGATATAGTCCTTGTGGCTATACCTTTAAACTACTTTTTGTCTTCTTCTGTAGTCAAAAAGAAGCTTTGGAAAGGGCAAGAGTTGGAGAAAAGCCATCCCACATTAGATCTTCTGCAGAGGAAAACAGCCCAGCCTCCTCTAGTTCTTTTCTGGTAAGAATGACTGCTTCAGAAAAGCTACTCATTAACTTAAAGCACCAGTGTTTGGGGCCTGTTGCCGCTTGCCCTCCATGAACTTCATTTCCATAGAAAGGCCTTGGAAAGGCTAATCCAGTGTAGCTCCAACCCCTTTGTGTGTAGTTCAGGTTCATTGAGAGTGCTGGGATGGCTCAGCACATTATTCATGCTCATTTAGATTATTAGTCCTGCTCCAAGCCAATTTTGTACATTTTTGCCATTTAAACCATGGGTGTATCATGAATGTGACTTATTGCTCATGTGGTCAAATAAGTAGTTAGGAGCCTCAACTCTATAATTTTAGCAGGCCAGAAAGATATTCTTCATCCAGCTTCCTCACTCTCCCCCTCCCAAAACCAACCCTCTTCCCAATAGCCTAGAAAGGTATGTTGAGCATGTTCAAGCTTATGAAATTCCACCAATCAGCAATTCACAGTGGCTAAAACTTACTTCTTCAAAATACAAGTAACGTATACCTAAGTGTAAATTAGCCTAACAGTTTGCTTTCTTATTTTTTTATTTTTGTCAAGGGTTTATTTCTTAAAGAGAGAGTGAGAGTGACAGAGGAACTGAGAGAGAGGGAAGACAGAGGATCCAAAGCCAGCTCTGTGCTGGCAGCAGAGAGCCCAGTGTCAGGCTCAAATTGATGAACTGTGTGATCATGACCTGAGTCGAAATTGGATGCTTAACCAACTGAGTCACCAGGTGCCCCACTGATGGCTCTTTTAGAGCTTTGCCAAGGTGGGGAATATAAAGGAGGAAAGGGGAGTAAGAGAACATGAAGCATATTTGTGAAGTAGAATATCAAATTGGCCCCTAAAAGTGAGATTTTAACACCTAGACTGATTACCTAGAAAAAAGAAAGAAAAGTATCAAACATGAATTTTATCTTATTATTTACCCAATTTAAGTAGGATAATAGATGAGTTGCACTAGTGAAATATATAGTAATGACATATTTCTAGTAAATTAGATGCTTTGCTAGGAATCCCATAAACATGGAGATAAACTATTCACAAAATCTGTTCTTTTCCCCCCTAACTTTACTGAGATACAGTCAACATATAACATTGTGTGAATTTAAGATGTACGGTGTGTTGATTTAGTACACTTTTATTTTGCAAAATGATACCACCATAGTGTTAGCAAACACTGCCATCACCTCACGTAATTACCATTTTTGTGTGTGTTGAGAACATCTAAGATTTATTCACTTACCAACTTTCAAGTATATAATACAGCATTATTAGCTATAATCACCAGGCTATATATTACATCCCCAGAACTTATTTATCTTATAGCTGAATGTTTGTACCCTTTGACCAATATCTCCCCTTTCTCCCAATCCAATTCCCTGGTAACCATCATTCTATACTCTGTTTCTGAGTTTGAATTTTTGGTTTCCAAATATAAGTGATATCATAGAATATTTGTCTGTTCTTTGTCTGACTTATCTAGCATAATGCCTTAAAGAGTCATCTAAGTTGTCATGAATGGTAGGATTTCCTTCTTTCTAATAGTAGGAATTCCTTCTTTCCAGTGGCGTGGATATGTGTGGGTGTATGTGGGTGTGTATATAACACATACTCTTTTTTTTTTTATTTTTTTAAATGTTTATTCTTGAGAAAGACAGAGAGTGAGTGGGGAAGGGGCAGAGAGAGAGGGAGACACAGAATCTGAAGCAGGCTCCAGGTTCCGCAGTATCAGCACAGAGCCCAACATGGGGCTCAAACTCATGAACCGTGAGATCTTGACGTGAGCCAAAGTCAGACACCAACTGAGCCCCTAGGCACCTCTATAACACATATTCTTTATCCACTCATTCACTGATGGACATTTAGGTTGTTTCTGTATCTTGGCTACTGTGAATAATACAATCTATTTTCTTAAAAAAAAACATTTTACTGAAGTATAATAGTCATTTAGAAGAAGTATGCTTTTCATGAGTGAACAGCTACATGAAATATCACAAAAGGACCACACCTGTAATAATAGCACCTAGGTCAAGAAATGAGTTATTGCTGGCAGACCAGAAGCCTCATCAAGTGTACAGTCTGGTTTTGAGCTGAACTTTCTCTTGGAGATGGGAATCATATTCATTATTCATTTCATCATCCATCCAATCATTCTACAAATGTTTCTTGAACACTTACTATTTTCCAAGCATTATTTATGTGTATGAGAATGATAGCCATAAACACAGCAGACAGTACTCTCTACTCTCATGGAGTTTGTATTTGAAGAACATAGGTAATAGATAACATGCATAAATAAAGTGTAAACCCAAGAGAAAATAAAATAATATATAGCAAATATTGGGATCGGGGTAAGAGGGGATACAGTGTTAAGTAGCCTGTACAGGAAAGCGCTTTGAGGTGACATTTACATCAAAGCCTAAAGGGATTGATTCCATACATGTAAGTGAGCAGGACAAGAAAAGAATAGCAAAGCTCCAAGGAAGGAGTTAAAGACAGCAAAGAGTCCAGTGTAGCTGAAATAGAGTAACCTCAGAGAGCCATAGAAGAGGAAGTCATTAAAGTAACAGGAGGCCATATTATATAGGATTTTGTAGACCATATTAAAGATATTGACGGGGCACCTGGGTGGCTCAGTCAGTTGGGCATCCAACTTCAGCTCAGGTCATGATCTCATGGTCTGTCTGTTGGAACCCCACGGCAGGCTCTGTGCTGAAAGCTTGGAGCTTAGAGCCTGCTTCAGATTCTGTGTCTTCCTCTCTCTCTGCCCTTCCCCCACTCATGCTCTGTCACTGTCTCAAAAATAAATAAAACATTAAAAAGTTTAAAAAAACAAATAAAGATATTGACTATCATTCTGAACAAAGGTTTTGTAAAGAAGAGTAATGTGATCTGATTTATTTTTTAAAAGAATAACTTTGCATGATATATTGAAAATAAACTACAGGGAGACAAGTGCGACATCTGGATAGCTGAATAGTCATGGAAGTAATTGTCGGAAGAGATGATGGTAGTTGATACCATGGCAATGGTGGTAGAAGTCATGAGAGGTGTTTGGATTCTGGGTTTGCTCTGAGAAGAAATCAAAAGGTTTCTCCAAGCCCATCCATCCCTCTTGAGTGCCACTGAGAAAATCTTATTTATGTTTTGCTTGCTTAGGATTCTGAGATGTGCAAACACTACCGAGTATTGCCCAAGATGGGTTACCTTTGCCCAAAGAATTTACAGCCTGTCTGTGGTGATGATGGCCGGACATACAACAATCCGTGCATGCTCTGTCATGAAAACCTGTAAGTCTACAAGTTGCACTCTCATATGTTCAAGTGTAGAGATTCTTGACTATGGTGTTGACCCACAGTACTGCACTGATAGCCATTTGAGGTGTGTTGTACCAATTTACTAATCATAGCAGTTAAAAATTCAAATTTTGTGGATAATCTTATTCATATATAAAATAGAGAGGATTAAAGATTACCCTTTTGACTAAATTGCTTATATACTTTACTGAGTAGAAGAGAAGGGGAAAAGTGATGGGGTTATAACAATTAGAGAAAGTCTCTGTTAGCCCATGTATACTCATGATAATGTGAACATCGCCCACGTGCTGTATGAAAAGAAAAAAAGTTGAGAATCATGGCTCTGTTGCATCATGCCAGCCTATAATCTCTACTGGGCCTATTGACTCCCTGGTAGGCACGTATTTCAGATCCTCTCCAAGTCTTCTTGGTGAAGGAGTGGTGTGACACAAGAGAAAGCAACCAGGAACAAATGGCAGACTTGGTGTGGGCTCTCAGATTTATTATTATCTGTGCATCTGTGGGCATATTATCATTCTGAGATTAAGTTTTTCCACTGGAGAAGTGCAGACCATTCTCTGAGCCAGCTGACTTCACTAGATTGTTAAGAATGGCCATTTTTATTTGAAATCAAATGTAAGGGATTTAATACTGTCATTATTGGTTAGAGCTCTGTTGCTTTTCTGTTCAAATACTGTCTTACTCTCCCCTCCATTCACATGCTTCACCTTTTCCCAGCCTCCACTGGACCAGCTTTAAGTGAAAGCATGGTGGCAAATCTTAACTTTTTCATCCCGCCCCACCCCATCCCACATTTACACTGTGGTCCATGTATGTTCTAGCAAAGCCCAGAATGTGAGGATGGGACACTCTGCAGTTTATATACTTAGAATAACATTTGAATATGAGTGTTTTATGTGTTCTCACATCTGTAGGTAAAGCACCTGCACATTTATCCTCTCAATGAATACTCACTATATTGTACAGGGGGTGAATCTGAGGCTTAGAGAGTCTAGGTAATTTGTTTAAAGTCGCAAAGCCAGAAAGTAAATCAGACAGGATTTTAACCTTGTTGGTTTGGATCCAAAAACCATTTTCTTTCCTCCCCACTACACTACTGTTATATCTGTGGCAGTAGTTCTTTAAACATTTGGGGATCAAAAGTTCCTTTGATGATATGGAGAAAGTTACCTCTTTTCAGAAAAGAAAAGAAAATGAAGCACCATTAGTGATTTGTATGTATATTATCTATGGGCACATAAATCTCTTGAAATCCATCTATGGATCTTACAGAGTTTTAAGAATTAAGAAATCTCCATTTAAGAAATGAATGCAACCATTCAGGAATTTGTTCTTATATATGCCTTCTCTTCAGCCCAGAAATTTTTCAACTTCCCTTTACTGTAAAGGTCAGGACCTAAATTACCCACCCAGTGTTCTTCAGTCATTCCATTAACTGTATAAGCCCATAACAAGTGATACTCTAGTCAAGGGAACATTGAGTCAGACGCTTCGATGGTAAAAATATTAAAAAAGCATGACTTTGTTTAGCTAAAGGAACTGGGAATATATATTATGGAGGGAAGACCCAGGCCATCCAAGGCGAGAGAGAGTAGTACTGGTTTCTGTGGTCTCAGAGGAAGTTAGAGGGGAACCATTTCAACTTGAGCAATGTCCAAAGACAAGGCAAACTACCTTGATAGACAGTGAGTTTCTCATCACCAGAGGCAAACAAGTAGATATTTAATATATAATATTTCTTAAGAGAAGCATTAAAATTTCATACTTTTTAAGATTTTTTCCAGCTATAAAATTCAAACCAATGTATTATATTTTATACAATCTATATTCTATATATATTTTATATATTTTTATTACATATACGTATTGTATTTTGTAATCCCACATTATAGGTATTCAATAAAGTGAAGCTTCTCGTTGGGATCCAGTTTTCCCATCTGTAAAATAATGACTTTGGACTAGATGGTTTCCAGGTTTATTTCCAACACTGAACAATTTCATGAATATATAGATGATTGAGGTGTGATGGGATGGATCCAGGACTGGGGAACAAACAATCTGGAGCTGAATCCGAAGGAGGACTAAACCCGAGTGATCCCTACTGGAAAATAGTCGAATTTGGATCCCGGGTCCTACCTTTGATTTCAGTTCTGGTGTGATGCCCAGATGTCACCCACATTGATCCTTGCTGTTGTTTTTCTTTCATTATAACTGAGTTTTCCCAGCTGTTAAATTTCCTCTGTTCTGTTTTAGAATACGCCAGACTAACACACACATACGCAGTGAAGGGAAGTGTGAAGAGAACAGCACCCCAGGAGCAACACCTCTCTATGTGCCAGCATCTGTAAGTACACCGCATTCATTGTTGCAGCGCCCGAACCAGCTGGTTCTGCTTCTGTGTCTTCTGCTGGCTGATGGACATTTCTGGGTCAGATAACCCCAGAACTGGTCACGTCTTCCTTGTGAAGATAATTAAGTAATTACTGAAATATGCGGGGATAATAATATAATAGTTAATGTTTTTTTTTAATAGTTAATGTTTTTAAATGTTTACTGGGATCATTAATAGATTGTTTATAAGCAATGTCCCTAATGTGAGACTTTTGCAAAGTAAGTTTTATTTTCTGTGTTCTACCATAAAAAGATAAGACAAAGATTGAGAGAGGTCACATAGTGACAGAACCAAATTTCAACCATTTCTGTATTATCCACCCATTCTTGCACTTCACACTGGATTAAACTGTTTCCCAGCATGAAAAGCTGGCCCTTTTTCAATCCCTGTAAGGACGTTTTGACACACATTATTGAGTTTGCCATTCTCCCTGGTGATCGCGTTTGAGGATGCTTCTCCTCAGGCAAGATGATATGTAACTTGGGGGCAAATGTAGGAATTTTCAAATAAGAGAAACTGTTCAGGTAAATATGGGTTTCTAGTCCAGCTTTCTATATTCCTCATATATGAAACCTTTGGCAAATCAAAGATCTAAACCAAAGATCTCACCAAGTTCTTGAAAATATTCAATAAATACTGACTTTTAAGTATTTGGCACAGTGTATACAAACTAATGGCACTGATTATTGTTATCACTATTATTGTTATGTTGAAGAGACCAAAGTATGAACTTAGACAAAGAGTCCACAATATAAACTTAGAGAAACAGACCCTGGCAGAGTGCTTATGTGTTTTTACTAATATTAATGAATTATAGCTTAATAAATTTACATTTAATGTTAAAAATATATTTATTGGGGTGCCTGCGTGGCTCAGTCGGTTAAGCCTCCGACTTCGGCTCAGGTCACGATCTCATGGTTCATGAGTTCAAGCCCCTTGTCAGGCTCTGAACTGACACCTTGGAACCTGGAGCTTGCTTTAGATTCTGTCTCTTTCTCTCTCTCTGCTTCCCCCCTGCTCACACTCTATCTCTGTCTCTCAAAAATGAATACATGTTAAAAAATTTACAAAAATAAAAAATAAAAATATATTGGGGCACCTGGGTGGCTCTGTCAGTTAAGCATCCGACTTCAGCTCAGGTCATGATCTCACGGTTTGTGGGTTTGGGCCCCATGTCGGGCTCTGTGCTGACAGCTCAGAGCCTGGAGCCTATTTCAGAGTCTGTGTCTCCCTCTCTCTCTGACCCTCTCCTGCTCACTCTGGCTGTCTCTCTCTCTCTCTCTGTCTTTCTCTCTCAGAAATAAATAAAACATTAAAAAACTAAAATTAAATAAAAATATATTTATATTCAATAAAACAAAATATTTTAATCAATTACATTTACTAAAATATATATATGTATTTCTTATTATCCACAACTGGTTTCATGTCCTTCCATGAATGGCACGTCCCTAAAGAAAACATAAAAACTTTTGCTCTACTTCCATTCTTGTGTTTGCCGTCTTATTACCTATAAATTCCTTTCTAACTATTACATATAAATTCTTAGTGATTTGCTCCTTATCTCATTGACAGCATATACTCTCCCTCCTATCTCATAAACATACCAAGTTACATATAACTTAGGACAGGGACATAAAAATACTCTTTATGTGAATCCTGAAGACCACACCTCAGACCATATCCTGCTGTTATCTCATGTAGACAACTTGACAAAGAGGACTTTATGAGGCATGTGCCATAGGAAATACTGATAAGATGTATTTATTCAAATAAGGAAGAATCTTGACAGGGCTAAGCATAACAAAGGTTTCGTAAGACAGTTCCTTCCTTTCATTTTTGGGTATATTCTTTCCACTAGAATTATGTAACAAACGTTATTAATGACAGGACTGATTTATGGTGTAAGATGATGGAATAAATCATTAGAACAAAAGATGTCCCGAATATGGCTTCAATTCCCTCTCTAGAATTCAGAGGTGTGATCTTGGAAATACCAAGGTGGTACAGGTGGGTGATGGCCCAACATTGCTCTGATGAATATTATGCATGCATATCCCGGAGGTCATAATCTGTTGCCTGACCTTTGTTCCTGTTTGGAAAGATTCTATAAGACAGTCTGGAATCTGAAGAATGAATTAAATAAAGGCCAGATCACAACTTTCCTGGAAAAATAGACCGAGGATCCTAGAATGCGTTCTTACACTTAATATCTATGAAGTATTTTCTATTGTACAATAACTGCTATGATTTATGTAACTCAGAATTTTGTGTACTCTTTCCTTGTGCGCATCCTCACTGTAGGCCTGTGAATGGGACAGGGATTATTATCTTTCCCATTTTATAGAAAATCAGCCAGGGGGAAATCCTGCAATTATCAGAATTATTCAATATTTCATTCTGAGTGTGGTGTACATCTTCTGACTTCAGAGCTTATGCTCTGCTACCATCCCGTGGTTATCAGGAGATTCTGAAACCCAGAAGCTCTAGAAAAGGGATTACATATCTCAATTAAATAATAATTAGCTACCTTGAAAGGAAACTTCATGACAAAGATTTTCAAAGATGTAAAAAGACCATAGATTGCCACTTTCCAACCAAGGGAAATCTCCTAGGGTGGATGTGAGAACTAAAATGGAGCTGTGAGTTTGGAATGATAGCGCTACTGGTGCTGCAGGGGGTACAGCAGACAGTGTGCAGTGTGCAGAAAATTCCTGAGGCCCTTGCCCTCTTCTTTGCCCTCTTTTGAAAATTCTTTAAATGTTGATTTCGTGTTTTATATGTCAATTTCAAGAGTGAATGAATATTGGATGAGTCAGGTAAGAAAGATACTTGATTAAATTCTTACGACCCAAAACCAACTATAATAGTAAAGCATCAGTGTTGGAGGGATTGAATTTAAGTTCTGACCAGATGTGAGACCTTGACAAGTCACAAGCCTTCCCTGGAGCTCAGTTCCCTCCTCCGTGAAACGATGTTAATGACACCTACCTCTTTTCATTACCATGAAGACCACATGTAATCAAGGGCAGAGTTCATATTTGTATCTACCTCAACAAGTAATATGCACTGGGTGCTCATTACTCATTGAATCAGTTGAATAAACGTGAGAGTGATTTTGAACGGAGAGTTCTTGGCAGAATGCAGTGATCTATGGATTTCTTTGACTATGACATAGCTATAAATGTGTAGCCCACATGTCTGTAATATCTCTGAGTTTCTAGCACCTAAACTATCCATCTTCTCTTCTAGGACAAATGATGGAAGAATTGGTGAAAGCCATGAGGGAAAATAGATGCCCTAATTCTGAATCGCCTTACTCTCATCATCTGTATATACAAAGAATTCTTCAGAGCTTGTATTATTTACTATAGAAAACAATACAGTGCTGTTGGGGGAATGGACTCACTGACTTTTCAGTCTTTCCCATCTCTTTCCTCCTAGAATCTGTGATCCAAGAGCATAGAGACATCTCCATCTGTCTGTGCCTGAAAATCTCCTGATCACAATGCTGTCTGTTCAACTACTTGTTCAATAAAACTAAACCCAGCAGAACACCATTTCTGGGATTTCTTCATCATTGCCTGGATTTACAGGCTTTACAGAAGCTGAAAACTCTACCCTTTCATCTTGCTAAGCTATTGGTGGACACAAAATGCTCACTTTTTTTTTTTTTCAGATTCAAGTTGTTTCATAATTGGGAAGAAATTTCTAGAAAAAAAGGTAGGAAGGTATGGGCTCCAGGCATTCAAGAGCTGTATAAATTCAAACCAGCTATGAATCACCTTAGATCTGTCACTTTACCAGCTCTCCTATACAGCTTCTGTATTTCCATGGAAAGCATAATTACCTCTGTAACACAGACACCATCCAAAGACACAAACCCGTGGTTTCTCATATTCAGTCATGTTGCCTCTTGACCATTTCCTACATCCTGGTCTGGGAAAAGACTAAGGAGATGAGAATTACCAGTGTGTTGCAAGTTTCTAGGGCAGCACAATCCAATAGAAAAAGAATTCGAGTCACATGTAATCTCAAATTTTCTGGTACATAAAGAAATGGGTGAAATCAACTTTAATAATGTATTTTATTTAGAAGGCAGTATGTCAAAACTCTTATCATTTCAAAATATAGTCAGTATAAACTTTTATTTTACAGGTCATTAATATTTTATGTTTACAGCATAACTGTTTGGACCAACCTCATTTCAAGGGCTACATGTAGCTGGAGCCCACCCAACCAGACAGTGAGCTAATGCACTTCAGAAGTTGACCAGGGAATTCAGGCGCTAGGTAGGGGTGGGATGGGACAGCTTGTAAACTCCTGCTTCAGCGCTGAAACTGAGTCATGTTCGGCATCTTGATACTGACATCCTGTGACAGTACCTAGGTGGGAGAAACACATCCTAGAGGGAGAAAGCTATGGAGAATCCATCAAGGTTGAAGTTGTTCTCAGCTGAAGAACTGTGTCCAGAATGGCAGGTCTACTTAGATTTGTGAAGTTAACCTTGTTTTTTCCTCTGCCTTTTCCTCTTAGATAGGTTGTTGGTAGAGCAGTTATAGTTAGGATTTTGTAATCGTTGTCCTTTGTAACTGAGTGAAAAAATCGATTCTGTGCTGTCCTCATCCCACCCCCCCATGTTATCATTAAGATAACAGAAAAAAAAAGAAGGCTTAGAAATCCTTTTTTCTTTTCAAGCATGAAAATACTGTCATTTCTGAAAAAAAAAAAAAGTGAGAAAACAATGTTGCTATTTTCTTTGGCAATTCCAGGATGTAAGGGATGGGCTTAGAGATTCTTTAGCATGAGATTGTATCTCCTTCCTGGATAGTTCTAAGAAATCCAGAAACTCTATTTTCATGGCCAAGACATAGTATTTTTTGAGAAGTAGTTGCTTTTTTATGTCTTTTTAAACATTTAAAATATAAACAATAAACAGTTTACAAATATTCCTTTATTATTATATTTTTATTATGACTATGATTATTAACTAATATGCACAAAAGACTTTATTACCCATGCTTAAGACTTAACCAATTCTTGATGATCATTCTGAGCACCAGGGAAAGTGTGGCTTGGGAATAGGGTGGAGTGGGAGATAGGAGGGTCTGGAATGGGAGGAAACGTGGAGATGGACAAAGGCTCAGGGACCCAGGGAAGGTCAAGAGTAAAGTAGGGGGTGCAGACGTCAGAAATGGGATGGTTACCGAGAAAAATAGACAGTGGGTTGAGGTGCAGGGATTGGGATTGAGTGTGAATTTGTTGAACACGTTACTTGGGATTTAAAACAGAGCTGAAAGTTGACTTTGGGGGGGAGAAAACACCAACTAGAGGTGAATATAAAATGTCTTCTGTGTCAAAATGGTCACAACAAAATAGCTGCATTAAATATCAAATAAACTAATTTTTGAGTTGCGGCTTAATGGATGGCAGCAGATGAAAACTGGACCCATCTCACTGAGGTTTCACAAACCAGCTCTAAAATTCTAGACCAGGACACCGCAAATGATCCTGTGTTGGGACTAAAAACACAAAACTACGTATATCACCTCTTCTTGGTCACGACCACAGACCTATGCATTTCTCTATAACTGATGCTGGGTCCGATTCTGTTTTCAGAAGATGGGTTATCATAGACCTACCACGGCCAAACTCCTTTATTTTCTTATGTTAGGAAGTCACCTGAGGTCTTCCTCTTCTCTCAAGGCTACAGAAACACCCAAGGAGAGCACTTGTCTAGACTATGAGTAGGGAAACTTTTTCTGTCAACAGCCAGATAGTAAATATTTTAGGCTTTATGGGACATATAGTTTCCGTCATAATCACTCTATGCTGTTGTTGTATAAATAAATGAATTTATGTTATGTAAATAAATATATGTGGCTGTGTTCCACATATATTTATAAAAATAGATGGTGGGCCAGGTTTGACCTGTGGGCTGAAACTCACAGGGTAATGGGTAAGAATCTGTTGTCCTTCTTCTTTGTATTTTATTTGTCTTCTCTTTGTCCCCTTCTGCACTTTTAAACACCAACCACACTGCTCCATGATACTAGAGAACAAAAACAAGAAACAAATAATAGAATAGAATAGTAGAAAATAATAAATGTTGACATTTCTAAACATTTAATATGTGCTTGGAACTGCGGAAAGCACATGGCAAGACTCCCATTTGTACCCCAATCCAATATTCTTCGTGGTCTTGGTTGACTTTGACCAAAGCCAATATCCTATATTATATAGAAAGATAATGGTAAATGAAGTGAATATGTCCTGTGGCCTTTATAATGATGAGGGATATCTGTTCACCTCCTGGAAAAAAAAGTATAGCAAGACATTCCTGTTCTTTCTTTGATGGCATTTTGGCACACGGGTCCCTCTTTCTTTCCAGAATTGAAATTAAAGTTCTATCTAAATAACATGTGACTATAAATCATTCTTTGAGCATGAGGAGAGAACTGAGGGAAGGACTTTGTCATATGAGGATTAGTCCCAGGAAGGAAGTCAAACAAAATAGTTTTCATCTTTGATGGAAATTTCATATGACTATAGAGCTCCTTCCAGATTATTTTGAGAGATGATGTGCTGTCCTCCTCCAGGTTGTTCTATGCTATTAAGTAGTTTTTGTTATATCTTTTCTTCCGCCATATCATGAAGCTATCAGAAAACAATGTCTACTTTTGCCTTTCTAATCGATTACAGTACTTGTAATATTTTTTAAATTAATTTTAGACCCTCTTTTTCTCTCCAATAGACTTTTCCAATGGCCTTTAACAGACTTGCTCGTTTCCATTCTTTACAGCTCTCTCTTTAAAAAACAAACAGACAAAAAACACACCAGGGGCACCTGGGTGGCTCAGTCTGTTAAGCATCCAACCCTTGGTTTCCACTCAGGTCATGATCTCATGGTTCATGGGATGGAATCCCAGTGCAAAGTCTGCTTAGGATTCTCTCTTTCTGCCCCTCCCCCTGCTTGTGTGCTCTCTCTCTCTCTCTCAAAACAAACAAACAAACAAAACAAAACAAAACAAAAAACCTCCGAATGATCTCTTCCAAACACAGATCTGTTTCATTCCCCAGTTAAAAGTTTTGAAAACTCGTACAAAGCAGCCACACTCTACCAGAACAAAGCAAAATGAGATAACCCTGAAATCTAGGCAGTGTCTTCTATCTTCTCCCTCTCCTTTTCATCCTCAATAGACACCATCACCACATCCAATAAACTCTAGTTCAAGCCATAGTCAATCCCTTCATGACTGACCATACCATCCTTAGAAATGTTCTCCCTCTACAGTCTTCTCTCTTCCATTGAATTCTTTACTGTAAACAGGGCAATACTCTGAAGTCCAAATCTGATGGTATTATTCTTGAAACCTGTAAGTGGCCTCTCTAGCCCCCAAGATTAACTCAAGACTCTTCCTGGTACAAATAAAAAATTGCTGACACTAGTAGCTGGAAACAAACCAGTTACTTGAAAATATGAACTTATAATATGAATCTCTCTTCCCTCCCCCTACCCCTGTAGGCTAGATAGATTCATGAGGCATTTTTCGGAAATATTAGCAAAAGCTGCAGCTAAAGAGGAATGCAAAGAGTAGCATGAACCCAGAAAATATGTTGTGAAGTGTATTGTTGGAATTGACATTGTACATTCAACCAACTAATTTTGTTATCAGCTAAGTGTGTAATATGAACTGATAAGATATCAATCAGGAAAAGATTATTGTATTTAAGGGTGATAAAATCCCAGATTGACAGAGCTAGAGAAAAAATAGAGATGATTTATCTAACATATTTCAGTTATGGGAATCCTGAAGCCCAGAGAGGGAAAGTGATTTTTCTGAGCTTACCCAAATTGGTCTAAATCAGAAATATAAACTCAACTAAGTGGTTTTTAATCTCATGTTCCTTACACCATTCCTTCTGGATTCGTGAACCCTAATTCCATGCTCTTCATACAAATAACATTATCTGATTATGTTTTCAGATAAAAGGAATAGATTTTGCATCTAGTGATCCACAGTATTGCTCATGATCTATAGAAATGGTCACATCTGTTTATTTGTGGAAAAATTCAATTCCAAATCTAGGGAGCATGTGGCAGGAAAAAGTACATGTGCTGATTTTTTAGCATATAGTAATGGGATTAGTGATGACAAGTGAATTCCAATGGCTTGACTTACATGAAAGAAGTCTTGGGAGCAGCAATAAAATATGAAGTTTTTAACCATTATATTCTTACCTGTGGATCCATTCTGTGCCTGGAATTTTAAGTGAAAAAGCTGCCGGAACTCCTGTTGCCCAGGGCTCTACACATGAGTTATGGACAAGTTGTGTTCACAGGGGATATTTGCCTAAGTCCCCGCCTTTGATCACAGGACAGACGTTAATAAATGAAGCAGAAAATGCCACATCCTTCTCCACCCTGAAGCTGTTCCTATACATTCAAAAGAGGAGTGGGCAGTTGAGTGATTTCCTCTCAGGAAGATGAGGAAAGTTTTATTTCTTAATTAAATAACGGTAATGAAAAGTTTGAAAGCCACAGACCCAAATGCTTTCT